AACGACATAAACATATGACTAATTAAGATACTAAAATATTATATGTTGAATAATAAATGGTGGTGTGAATATGATTACATTCATTCAAGTTTGATGCCAGCAAACCTTGACTTGCCCACATGTTATAAATTAAGAATAGTCCTTTTCTGATCTTTGATCTGTTTTTTTTTCTTCAAATTTTTCATGCAAAATGATTTCTCTGCAAAGCTGAGAAAACAAGTTGTCATGCTTTACTTTTTCCTTCATCGTGAAACTTTCATTCATTAATATTTATAAATTAAAGACAAAAGTCGTCTAACTGTCGAGAACCAACCAAAACAGTGGATCTTCTTCAGATACATCGATTAAACTATACATACATTGGACTCAAAAGCAGAAGTTATTCCAGTCAGGATCTTTTGATTTGCCACTTTTATATTTTAAGTTTAAGGAAGTTTTGTTCACTGCACTACAAAATTTTCTGTTTTGGGTTATGAAGGTTTACATGTAAAAGTATACTAGATTTGAAGATGACCTTGATATAAACATGCATTCAAGAACCTAAACATTGATGTATTCTTAATTTACTATACATGGGATTTGAACAAATCCTGAGATATCTACACTTTTGCGTTTTGGTAAATAACAAATATTTTGTTAGTTTTTGCTGAACCATATGCCATGCTCTAGTAACATCCAAAATAACTCTATAGTAAATAAAATTTACCCTTCTGTAACTCTTACACTCTTTTCCCCCCTCAATTCAAGTTTTTTATATTGGCTCTATATCCTCGTCCTTGTTGGCTTCCCTCTTTAACGCGTTCTCTCTGTTCTATACGATTCATAAGTACTTATGCGAGCTTTCTTATTGGATGAAATATATTTGACATGGGACCAACTATTAATCCGATCCGTACTTTTTGTTGAAATTTGAGATAGAACAAGCATATTTGTTAGCATACTAATTATAGGGAAGAGATGAAATTAAGGAGTAGGCTTCGATTTCAGTCATAACAAAAAAAACATTTGTTAAATGATATGTTATATCTGTTTATCATGCATAAAAAGAGAAACTTGAAAAGATAGTGAAGAAAGGAGGAGCTGAAGAATGGAATCCATCTTTTGTGCATGCACTGCCCCACAAGGAAATCGGAAGGAGACAAGTGATTAGTCACACGTCTCTTTCAGTGACTAACTTTTTTGCATTCTTCACACTCTCCTTAGATTTCCTACTTCTACTTACAGATTTAGCTTACGTACAATTTTGTTTGATTAAAGTTTCCTCCTAGTGTTAGAGCCAATTTATACATAGATTGAGGTGATCTTTCTAGCTTTTTCAAAAATCTTTTTTAAAAAACCAGACAATAGATTTCGACGTGTCTAAGCTAACAAAATAATAAGCCACAATCACTAAGAATCCTTTTTTGAGTAAGCTCTTTTGAAATCATATTTCTAATTACATCGTACGGTAGTCTAAATCTGGAATATTTTCCTATCTGATTTTTGTTTACACTTTGTAATCTAGGAACATTATAATTATCATGCACAATAAAGAATATATACTATTTGCATCAATGGCATATCTCATAACTGGAATTGTGATGTAAATGTGTATTCTTCCATATTTTGGCCTGAAGCTTCCTAGATCAGAGATATAAGTGAAATATATTAATCTAGGGTAATTGTGGACTAGAAATTCTGATAAGATATATCTGTCTGCATCCTCGAAAAGGTGATTGAATAATTATATTTATTTTTTAAAAAGGGTTGGGACTATGACAGTGAGAGATGGGACGATTGCCAAAAAAGGGAAGAAAGCTAAGACGAAATTAGGGTTTAGTCAGGTTTCCATGCTCGTATAACTTCATTACTCCCTCTCTTTAATTAAAGCTTACCTTTACCCTCTCTAGCTATCTATCTATTTAGTACCATCCATTATTCATGAATCCACTACTTTACACTTAAGAGATAAGCATTTTCATAATATATGTCCTCTTTTTCTTGTGCTGTACTAAATTTTATTGTGCCTAATTACTGAATAAAAATGGCTTAGAGCATCTCCAACCCATGCTAAATATGACATATATGCTATTTTGCCATAATTTTTGCTCCAACCCAATTGCATATGCTATTGCAAAATAGCATCATGCTATTTTTGCTTCTATATTTGGCATGAGATTATGCAATATGCTATTTTGCCATTGAACTTTTTTATTTATAAAATAGTCCTTCAATTTGTAATTACTTTTAATTTAACAGTTTAATTATATTGATTATGATTTATTTAAATAAATAAACAATACTCATAACTTTTTCAAAATATAAATAATATTTATTTCATAGAAATATAAAAACATAACCATAATAAACTTCAAATTTTATTTTTAAAAATACTGAAATTCAAAAAACATAAAACAATAGGTTAAAATCTTTGTTTTCTATAATTTTTATGTAATATGATGTATTTTGTTTTAATATTATAATAATAAAAAAAAATATAATTCTGGTTGTTTTTGCAAAAAAAGAAAAACAAATGATTCACTTTGTAAAATTTGAAGAAATCAAGTAGTTTTAACAATTAATAATAAGTTGGAAAAAAATTATAGCATGATATATGGCATGAGGGGTTGGAGAGAAACCCAATGCTATTGCTATATTTTTGCCATTTGCAATAACATATGGCATGAGGGGTTGGAGATGATCTTAATAGTCCATTTGATATTTAATGATAATTAGCTACCTGTTATGAAGGGACGTGGCGTTTTAGATTTTAATGTTTTTGACTGAAACATTATGAACCTTTACATTGTACTATTATAGAGGTTTTTCTTAGGATAAAATACAAGTTCCAAATGCAGATTAGTGGTTTGGTGTAATCTATCACAAAAGTAATTGACCATTATAGTGTCTTGTTGGTTTAAAATTATGTTTAAAAACATGAACTTAATTTATAAGTAACGGCAGTATGTAATTTGAGCAGGGGAAATGATCATGATCGCTCTTTACGTCCTTACAAAATTTTGTTGCAAGTCAATATGCCAAAAAAACCCAAACAAAAATCGGCTCAACAAATTATACATATAGAAATTCTTTAGAAACAAAATTGATAACTGTATAATCGTTACTACACTAAATCATTTTTTCCCCAATTAGAAAAATAAGAAATTCATAGTTTGAAATAGAAAAGTCAAAAGGAAAGTCCACCAAACCCACTTGAGTTTAATAGGAACACACAAAGCTAAGAAGCATCACAGTTCACATCACACACGTAGAGAACACACTCTACTCATTAACTCACATTCGCAGGTTCTACTCTTCCTTTTCCGGAAACCCTATCACTCTCTTTCTGATTTGACCTGTCTTTGGTATTTATTGTCCTAATCACTTTCTCTTTTCAATTTAGACAACATATCTTTACTTGATCTTTCTCGTACAACTTGTGAAAGTTCTCTTATTCTACACTTATCTTTATCTTCCGCCTCCTTTTAATTAACGTTTTACTTTATGTTTTGTCATTAGACTAAGTTATGTTATAGTTTTTTTTTTTTCTAATACTACTTTTCCCCTCTCATTGTAAGTGAAAAAAGTGCAACCAAACAACAATCTTTCCTAAAGTTTAAGAAAAAAACCTATTTATTTTATCTCGATCGTTTATATGTTACAAAACAATTGTTGATAAGATCACGCATAATTAGGTATGAAACGGCTATTCTTTTAGTTACACGATCAAAACTGTCAAAGGTTAAGAGTATATTTACGCTTCTTTCTTATTCATTTTATGATTTTAAGTAATTTGTACACGTACGTATTTTCACGAGTGTGCCCACCGCACCTATCACCTACGCGTACTATGTTTGTAGTACACGGTGAGTAAGTTTGATATACGAATCATAATTAACAGTTTCAAGCCTATTAATAACAAGAAAGGCCACACAAATATTATGGGCTCGATACCAAAGGCCAGTATATAAAATAATCATGAATAGATATCAAACTTACCTATGCTTTCATGGTTCGCACTCTTTTATGAATCAAATTTAATATTATGGGACGTTGCAAGAAATCTTGAGCCACTCACTCTTTTTTTTTTTTTAGCATCTAGTGACGCAAGCTTTGCTCTGTTTGTTTTACATTATTAATCATATGTTTCTAGTTATCAAAAGTCCGTTGTAGTCTAGCTGGTTAGGATACTCGGCTCTCACCCGAGAGACCCGGGTTCGAGTCCCGGCAACGGAGATTTTTTGTTATTTTGTTTGAAATGTTCGCACTCTGAATGTACAGTTTATTTCTAGCTGATCATCATTTGTTTCACTATTATTCTTTGTTTTTAATTGTCAAAGCAGATGAAAAGTCTTACAAGTACAGTTCCATGAATCATAGCTACGAATTGTTCATACTCATCTCTTGGCTCGTTAATTAGTTTGCTGTCTAATAACATTAAACGTTTGGCTTGAGTTTATTCTTAGATATATAGACATATTCATACAAACACTATCTCACAGTGCCTATGCTATGCATACGTCCTTAACAATATTGTTAGTATTTCTTGAATCATAAACTCCATTGTCGTTGAGATACTCAGTATTAGCTCCTGTTACCTCGAGGATTTACGTGTGTTGTTTCTTCTGGAGTAATCCTTTGCCTTGCCCTAAAAGGCCAAATGTTCCCGAGCTGCATCCACCTTGTGCGCCTTCTTTCAGGTATGTCTTCTCTTACATAATCTCTCCTTTCTTGAGTATCAGAACTGGTACTGACAGGTGGCAGGTCACGGCGGCATATAGGGCATGAGTTGTGAAGCCTGAGCCATGGAGTTATGCAACCGTTATGGTATATATGTTTACACGGTAGCTCTGTAGCTTCCATGCCTACAACGAACTCCTCCATGCAGACGCTGCACTGGGACATGTCGTTGGTTAGATGCTGTGGTGTTATCTTCACGGTTGGTAGTGCATCAATGGCGGGTTCTGATGCTGGAGGTGGTCCAGGCCTGTCGTCTTGTGTTAGTTGCTCGATCAGCTGCTCTAAGCCTGATGTTCCAGTAAAGAAATCGTTAGGGTTCACACGCCTTGGTGGTGGTGGTGGCTCAATCATGTTTCCAAGTGGACTAGTTGGATCAATGGGCCTGAGAACTACGTATGTTCTTCTTGGTGGAGGTAAACCGCTGTTGTTATCATTGTCAAGGCTATGACGTCGCCGATGGTGCGGTCGGAGTCTTGGTTCTGGTTCGGTGTTTCTTGATCTTTCCCTGAGAAATGGGTCTGCACTGAAACCACCTCTGAATGGAGAATCAAACATGAGAGATAGAGCTTCAAGGAGACGAGCCTCGGGAGAAGCATCAAAAGGAGGAAAAGCAGCTAGAGGCCGTCTCATCTCAATCTCAACGACAAATTGTCTCAAGCATCGAGGGCAAGCTATCTCCGAAGGGTTAGACGATGCAATCCTAACCGTGCGATGACAATGGTAGCACCAGTAGAGGCCGAAAGTCCTAAACGCACCATATGTCCGTGTTCTTGGCAAACTCATTGGGGAAGAAGAAACTGTTCTATACAAGACATCATCAAACATAATATGCTACACATATATAGATAATGTCGAGGGTTTGCATGAAATTGAAATACAGGTTTTGTTTTCTTTGGAAGGCAAAGCATGAGGTGGACGAAGACGCAATGCTTATTTCTTCAAATTTTCTGTGCTTTTAAGATTGCCTCTAGCTAAAGATAGAATATGTGCCTTATTGTAGTTAGGGAGGAAGCAATCATAAAGCAAGTAAACATGGAAAATGATCAATCCATAATCATATTATATTCCTCGGTTTCAACTTATTTGATAGTCCGGATACGTTTTAGCACACCTAATTCGTTTAGTTCCATCTAGTGCCCATTCCCTAACTATTTTGTTCTTTGTTAATTATTATGATTTGTGGGTTTAATTATAATCTTCTCATGAAGCTGTTCTAAATTATGGAGAGGTTTATGGAAAAATTACATTGCTCATTTTCACTTAACCCCACCATCTAAATTTTTTCTCACATGCATGGATTCCTTAATAAATTAACAAAAAGCTTCAATGTTTTTCTATCCTTAAAGAGTAATGTGATATTGAACAAAAAAAAGAGAACAAAAAAAGAGTAATGTGATGTAAACAAACTAGGCATGCAGATTAAATCGATTCCATCTGCCTAGTGTATGAAATTAACTCCAACCAAGCAAGTATATTATTTGTTGTTGTTGTAATTGAGTTTGTTATACACTGTTATTAGAAAAACATATATGATCACGTTATGAATTTAAAATGGTTTTCATACTATAGTGAATATGAAATACATATCACACTATATGCGCAAATGACATACAACTTACACAATTTAGCAACCCGGATATTGATATGTCTAATTGCTTCATCTCATAGCGGCCCAAAAAACTTGCTTCTTTGGTTAAATGATTCTTGAGCCTTAAGGCCCATTTCGTATGTGATGTATTTTCCGATGAATCGGACAACTCTCAGGTGCTTTCCTCCGACGAATCGGACCGCCGAATATCTCAGGTACATTACATCTAACTGTTCCATCGTCTCTTAAATATCCCAATTTTTTCAATATTTTCCCATAATTTCCGATATTTTTTCATATTTTCCCGTATTTTCCTTAACTTTCCAATATATCTTCGATTTCTCGATTTAGTGAGACTTCGGAAATTATTATTTTTTATTCTCAAATTTCCCGTTCTCTTCCCATTTCCGTTAATTCCCGTCTCAAAAATTCAAATGTATTGGACTAATCAAAATAGTTTGAGGTTTTTTTTTGCACAAAAACCTATTTAAAAAAAAGATTCTGACAATGCCACGTCATCAATATAGGCATGAACTATATTGTGGGTGACTTTGGAGCTGAGTGATTTGACTTGCATTTTTTTGAGGTAAGGGTTTTTCTTGCAAAAATAATTTAGTTTAGGGTTTTTTTTGCACAAAACTCTTAAATAGTTGGTGTTTAGAAAACGTTGAATGTGACTGTCATCACCAAAATCATATTCTCCATTTCATAAAGAGATAATTCTAAGTTTTTATTTTTGTTTTATAAAGAGTGTCACTTTTCCAACACAATTTTATTAACTGAAATCCATTTTTAACCTTGTTATATTAATGCATTAATTAGAAAGACAATATAGAAATAGTGTAATTAAAAGTGGTAAAATAGAGTTTTTTGAATGGTTTTCTTAATATGTGTGTAAAATAGTAAAATGACACTCTTTATAAAACAGAGGGAGTAACAAAACTGATGTGTATAAAGACACATTTTGGTTTTACAGTATTGATGATTTAAATTCGTTAAATCGACTTTTAAGTTTATGTATAGTGATAATGTTATACACGTCTCCTTGAATTTGTTTTTGTTCTGATACAAAAATTAAGGTTTTCTTATTCCCTTACTTAAACATTATAGGTTAAGAATTTTTAAATCTAATGTCTCGATCACAACCCTTCAACAAAGTGTAAGACACACTTATCAGTTATCATAATGATTACACTTCGTTGATGGTAAGCACTTACAACAATCGTGAAAAAGAAAAAGAAATGATAATACCAAAAAAAATCCATATGCTTTATTTATCTTACATATAGCACCAGAATATTAGCTCGTTATTTCCAGTTGCAATCACTGTATTATGATTGATTTTCACATTTATTTGTGGAACTCGATAATAGAGTATGGATAGATGAGACTAATGACTTCACATCCCAGAAAACCTGACTCAAATGCTAAATTTTCGAATTGCGAAAGAGATCTCTCTTTACCACCCGAACATTGTGTTAACATAAACATGTCCATATGAAACATATGAGTGTCACCACGCTTTGGTTCTGTAGGTGTAATCATATCCACAATTATCACTTTTCCTTTTTGTGGGAGACTCTTCCAACAGTTTTTTAGAATCTTTACACAATATTCGTCCGTCCAGTCATGCAGTATCCACTGTCAATAATTTAATCATTTTAATTTAGAAAAAAATAATGGATTTAAACTCAATTAACCTAGCTGAAACAATAAAGTTTTCTATTCAATTTAAATATATAAACTTACTTTCATGAAAATGGCATCTCCCTTTGGAACTTCTATAAACATATCTCCGGAAACATGCTCAACTCCTGTAAGTAGTAAAAATTAAATAAAACAAAGGATTTAAGATGTAGTTATAAAGGACTATCTACAAATATATTAAGTAGTTTTGTACCTGGATAACAAGGAGCATGGGTTAAAACTTGAGGTAAGTCAAAATTAACACACTTAATATGAGGATACTTGGAAGTGACTTGGCCTAATACGGTGCCAATTCCTCCTTCTACATCCACCAAAGTTTCAACATCTTCAAATCCTCTGTAAACTTCTAGAAAGTCTTTCATGGCGATTGTGGAAGATTCCGACATTGCCTGGTTAAACATCTCAGCGAATTTTTCATTTGCACCGATGTATTCGAAAACTCTCATGCCGTGGGCAGAGCTGAATGCATCTTTTCCTTCTAGTATCACATCTTTGAGATTTGTCCTACGAATTATTATTTTTTTAAAAAGAAAAAAAATAACATGTAACTACTGGTTTGACTAAAGTATAAAAAAATTAAAGAAATACGTACAGGTTTGACTAGTTTAAGATAGTGAAGCACATACCAAGTCTTGAAAAAGGCTTGGGTATGGACAAACAAGAACACAGACGCGAGAGAACCAGAACCGTCACAATCTTTCAAGAAAAACTTGCAAACCGGTTCGGTTGCATATAGCCTCTCAGTATGTCCGTTTTCTCCGGTTTCAATCACACGGCACTTCAAGATCGAGTGGCTGGCGAGTAATCGGAGCATCCGATCTAGCAAAACCGGCGCTTCTGGGTTGGTGGGTTTCGTTGGGAGACTAAGTGCTACCTCGGATGGTGAGAGCCACGCGCCGTTGCCTGCAGCGGCGATGGTGTCGATGACACCAAGCTCTAAGGCGGCTTTAAGAACCATAGGGAAAGCCACAGTGTTGACGATACTCTGAGCTTGCAAGATCACCATTTTCTCGTCGACCTCTTCTTCTTCATCTTTAGTTAAAGTCATTTTAAGGCAAGTGGATAGAGGCTCTTGAATATGGTTTGGCATTCTTGTTTGTCAGTTAAAATGTTGAAGAAGATAAGATTACAATGGTAGAGTTTTGGTTCGGGAGTGTGGTTCCAACATTTGTACTTAATGCCATTTTATAGGGCGGAAATATGAAGGCAAGCGTACGGTACCGATCGAGCCAAGAGTATGGCTAATAAAATGTGAAGATGTAATGATTTAATAGCTGTCCAGAAAACGAAATCTGAGGCCAACTAGCCAAGTGTACCGAGCTATGCTATGAGTGGTTAATATTTTAATTCCCATAACAAGAAAAGTTTAATAGAATTACAAAATCAACCGAATTTGATAGTATCTATGTTTGTCTAGCTAGGAAATTAATGCCAATATGTAACAACTAAATACGATGTATTACAATTTTTATGTTTATGATTCGTGAATGTAAGCGATAGTTAAATAGTTGGTGTTTAGGAAACGTTGAATGTGTGTCTTCATTCTATAACTGCATAGGTGTCATCACCAAAATCATAACAAAACTTATATGTGTATAAAGACACAATTTGGTTTTATAGTATTGATGATTAAAAACATTAAAACGACTTTTAAGTGAGTGAATAGTGATAATGTTTTAAAACCTCTTATTGATTTTTTGTTTTGATAAAAAATTTAAGATTTTCTTATTCCCTTACTTAGACACAATATGAGGACAGTCTTATGTTCTGGTTCTCCACCAGAATCTAAGTTGTAGATCTCTGTTTTTTTTCTTTTCTATAAATTTCGAAAAACTGAAGTACTTGATGTAATACCGACTTTTGATTGAATAAAATTTTACATTGATTCAAAAAAATTTACATACAAGGGGTTGATATATCATTAGGGTTTACACGCCTTGGTTGTGGTGGTGGCTCAATCATGTTTCCAAGTGGACTAGTTGGATCAATGGGCCTGAGAACTACGTATGTTCTTCTTGGTGGAGGTAAACCGCCATTTTTATCATTGTCAATGCTGGAGAGTCAAACATAAGAGATAGAGCTTCAAGGAGAGGAGTCTCGGGAGAAGCATCAAAAGGAGGAAAAGCAGCTAGTGGCCGTCTCATCTCAATCTCAACGACGAATTGTCTCAAGCATCGAGGCCAAGCTATCTCTGAAGGGTTAGAGGATGCAATCCTAACCGTACGATGACAATGGTAGCACCAGTAGAGGCCGAATGTCCTGAACGGACCATTTCCAAGTGTTTTGGAATGCTTCTCATATAATAAAGCTGCTAAAGAAATTGAGAACATATATAACTGAGAACATAGAACACCTCCATTTTTCTTAAAGAACTGTGTAAGATCTGGTGTCTGTGATGATGTTGAGATCCCTCGAGCCTTGCGCATTTGCATATTCTTCACAAGCCACTGTAGTGAACACAGAACACAGGGATCAGTTAGAATTAGTACTTACTAGATGCATCTTCTTTACTCAGGCTAAATGTTATATAACTGGAGTAGTAATTATTCAGGCTAAATGTTATATATTATTCCATGGGACATATACCTCTTGTCTGGCTAAATGATCAAGCTCCTTACAATAAAACTGGGACTCTAAAACAAACTTCTTGTCTTCATAACAGACGACTAAGAACAATGCTTACAAAACACAGCAAGCTAAATTATACCCGCATAGGGGTGTCAAAATGGGTAATCCAACCCATCCAACCCATTATCCTAATAGAGTGAATGCTAATGGATTATGGGTTAATCCAATCCATTTGAAAAATGGATTGGTTTGACCCATTACCCATTTAGTTAGATGGTTTTAATGGGTTAATGGATGAATGAGTTAATGGATGATCTATCAGAAAATTGTATTTGGATGTAAAGTTGTTTTTTTTGAATTTGTTAAAAAATCTAAATGCAAAATTTATCAAATGAAAATCCGGATTTTACAGTTTTTTTTGGAAAAAACACAATTTTAGGGGTTCCCACCAAAACTATAAAAACATGTATTTCCGGTTAAAATCGTAAAATCCGCATTTCCGCTAAAACCGTAAAATCACGTTTTTCTGTCAAAACCGAAAAATCACGACTTTCCGCCAGAAACGTAATATCACGTCTTTCCGCCAAAAACGTAAAATCACATTTTTTCCGCCAAAACGTAAAATCCCGACTATCCTCCAAAACCATAAAATCATGTTTTCTCGCCAAAACCGTAAAATCATGTTTTCCCGCCAAAACCGTCAAATTATGTTTTCCCGCCAAAAATCATGTTTTCCCGCCAAAACCGTAAAATCATGTTTTCCGCCAAAAACTTAAAACCGCATTTTTACGATTTTGGCGGAAAACCGCGATTTTACGTCTTTGACTGAAAAACGTGGTTTTGCGGTTTTGATGAAAAATCGTGATCGTTGTAGTTTTGTCGGAAAACGTGATTTTACGGTTTTAGCGGAAAAACATGATTTTACGATTTTGGCATAAACTGCTATTTTAAGGTTTTGTCAAAAAACTATGATTTTTTCGTTTTGACGAAAAACCGCGATTTTATGTTTTTGAACATGATATTAGGGTTTTGTTGAAAAAGTCGTGAGTTTACGGTTTTTTCGGAAAACCGGATCGTTTTGCCAAAACCGTAAAATCGTGTTATTTCAAAAAAATGTAAAATTGCGGTTTATGCCAAAATTGTAAAATGGTGTTTTTTGTCGAAACTGTAAAATCATTTTTTTTTCAGTATTGTGTTCAAATGCAGCCAAATACAATTTTGGATTCATTATGTATGAAAAAATATTTGATAAAGAATTGTTTTTTATTATTAAAATATTTCTCTTAAATTAATTTAATAAAGTGAGTCAACCATTAATCCAATCCATTATAAAGCAAACTATTTCTATCCAATCCAATTAATCCATCATCCATTTAAATCATCAACCCATTTGGATTAATGGATAAGATGGATTGGGTCAACCCTGAATACATTTTGACACCCTATACCCGCACCGTCCCGCAATTTTGAAATCCCTGCTTGACATAACTCACATTTTTTTTTTGAAGAATTTTTTTTACTCACACCCACCTTGTGGCAGGTCAAACGGGGCGGAACCCGCATATCGAATCAAAAATTGACAGGCCTAGTTTCATGTGAACCATGCAATAATATTAATCTGTTTCAGTTCAGTTCCAGTTACTAAACCATTATCACACAGTACTTAAGTAAATTAAGAAATGTTATAGTCAAATAATTAGTTCTCGGTTATTTTATGGGTTTTGTGCACAAAAAAAATCTCAAACCAAATTCTTTTTGCAAACCAACTCCTCAATTAAAAGCCAATTTTACAAATTTTATAGTCACCCGTAATATAAGACTTATGTATATTTGTGGCGAAATTTATAAGAGCTTTTTTTTGAAACTCGCGAACAAAATTCTTTTTTTGTTTGCAAATATAACCCCAACTTAAAATGCATGCAATTCAAACATGCAAAATATGAAGGCTCCGACTAAAATGGACCTTTGTGTAATGTCGACATGACTGAAACGGATTTCGGTTATAAAACTAACATAAATCGAAAACGCATTAATTTGAAAAAAAAAATCGGGATGAAATTCGCAATAATTTTAGAAATTACATAATGTTTTATTAATAAAAAATATTCACTTAGAAATTTGTATTCTTTCTTCTTTTCTCTCATCTCTCCTTTTCTACTTCTCTTCTACAATTTCATTAACTAATGTATCTAAAGAAAAATAAAATTTAAATCAAGAATAATCTAATCTAAATTAGCATAAAAATCACACAAATTTTTGAACATAATTTTTGACCTGCGTCCCACTTGAGTTTGCGGATAACCCACATATTTTTAAATAATAATAAAAATTAAATTATATCTTTTTTTAATATAATAAAATATTTTGAAAAAATTGAATTGAATGTGGTCAATGAGAAAGAAATATCTTTTTAAGAATTAAAGGCTTGGCCTCAACTTTCGGCTTCACCACAACAAGAAAATTCTTCAAAGAAAGCCATAGAAGTTGTATCATCTAATATTAACTAATTTATAAATAGTTTTTTTTTTTACTTTTTTGAATATTTTAATAATAATGGTTAACTAAATATTAATATTATTTAAAATTGAAGTTAAGAAAAAAAATAAACTGCGGGTAACTCGCAAACCCGCGAGATATGATATTTTAAACCATGATTGTGCGGGTTACCCGGTTACGGTTATACAACCACCAAATTAAATTGGTATATTTATACTATACTATGTTTGTTGTTTATATTTTATTTCAAAAACAACAATATTACTAAAATTATTAATACATAATAATATTTTAGAAAAAGCAAATGTGAAAGTCTTCAAATTGGTTCTTTCTCTGAGAATTTATGGTAATCAACTTTAACAAAAAAGAAATTATGGTAATAAATCCTAAGAAATATTAAATCAGCAATTTACCATACTGAATAAGATGTGATAATTGAGAAAGACCCCTATATCTTTCACACAAATTACACATATCATAAATTATTTTTGGCTAAATCAAATCTAAAGAGTCAATATATTTTTTTGTCTTTCTCTTTCTGAAGGAGCTCCGACGACATTTTTTACTTTCGCGGCTAACCCGGTAATACTCTATACTCAATGCAAGTAGAATTCGTTGAATCGATATTCCCGGTGTTAGATTTCATCGGATCCGGTGTACTTTGTGATTGATATTAACATTTATTTTTTGGACGCGTAATTTTATGGTTAGATTTTATTCCCTTTTTACTTTCACATGTTTTGCTATTATGATTCATGGGTTCTAACTAGGCTTGGGACTTCGGGTATCCGTTCGGGTTATTTCAAGTTTCAAATTTTTGGGTTTGGGATTATAAATCCATTCGGGTTTTTTATATTTTTTGATCGGGGTTGTTTCGTTTGCTCGGGTTCAGGTCAGGTATGGCCGTATGGGTTTACAAATGACACAATTTATTTAATTTAAATGAATTTTTTGGTAGAATTTTTAAAAAATATATTTGATTTAACATATATAACTATAGCTTTTTGGATATTCAAGAGTATTTAGATTAATTCAATAAATATAACTAATATATTCAGTTTATAATTTGTAGTTTTAGACTTTTTATTTTATTTTGAATCTATATATACATATTGTTTTTAATATATGATTACATTTTGGGTTTTCGGGTTTAGAAATTTAGGATCCTTCGGTCTTTTTCGACCATTCATTTACTGCATATTGTTTTTTCTTCTTTTGTTGTTTGACATTATGATTTATGCTTGTTTAACGATTATTTAACTTATCATTTCATAATTGGTATTTTGCAGAATTGTCTTTTGGCAATGGATAAATCTAATCCGATCGAGCCAAAATCGTTCACAAGTTTGAGACCCGGTAACACATCATCGCCAACACCGCTTCGAATGGTCAGATGCTTTGATCTCAATGCAGAACCACCAGTTACGCCTCCTTCTCCAATGGTCTCATCGCTTCAAATTGTAACACCCTTTTCAGCAGTCATTGATCTCAATGCTGAACCACCGACTACACCTCCATCTACGAGACCACCTCCAGTTACACCATCTACCGCATCCGATCATGTAATACCCAGCACAACATCTCCTCTAGCTCAAATGGTCACACCACTTCAACCCATTGGATCATTTGACATCCTCGACAACGAGTCTTGCCCTGGTGATATTGCTAGTACTCATCCGATCAAAAAAGGACGTGGTCGACCAAAAGGTTCGAAAAACTCGAAGATGCCCGCGAAGAAGCCGAAAACAGTTGAGGTCTCCGGCAATGAGAAATGCGCTGCTGATGCTGGTCTTAGTACTGCTCCGACCAAAAGAGGACCTGGTCGACCAAAGGGTTCGAAAAACTCTGCAAAGAAGCCGCAAAGTTATGATCCCAACAGAAAAATGGTTAAATCATGTCTGAGTTTTGACTCGAAGATAACTGAAGCAGAGAGAGAAACTGGAAACAAGGAGCTTGTTGAATCCGTTTTGATACGGTATGATGCAGTTAGACGTAGGTTGTGCCAGCTACAGTCCGCAATCGTGCTTCAAACCGCACAAGCTAATTGCAAAAATCTTGGGGTGATGACGAATAGGAAAAGGAGAATCGGTCCGGTTCCGGGGATTCAGGTCGGTGATATATTCTACAATCGGAGTGAAATTTCCTTAATAGGGCTCCAAATACAAATGGTCGGCGGCATCGACTATTTTTCAGTTGAAGACGGCGCAGATACACTAGGCGCTACAAGTGTAGTCACGTCAGGAAATTTCGAAGATAAAATACTTGACCTACACACTTTGGATTATACCGGTTCAGGTGGGTTGGATTCGAACGGTCGACAAGTGGCTGACCAGAAGCTTGAAAAAGGGAACCTTGCGTTGACAAAAAGCGTTGAAAATGGGAATGAAGTTAGAGTGATAAGAGGTTTGAAAGTCCCGAGCGATGAGAAGACGAAGATCTATATGTACGATGGACTATACTCGGTGTCGAAATGGTGGGAAAAAACGGAAAACGGTTTCAAGGTATTTAAATTCAGATTGGAGAGGAAACAAGGCCAACCCTCTGGCTATGCCATCTCGAAAGAAGTTGAAAAATGGAACAAGTTTGGTTTGGATAGTTTTCTACTTGAAGATCTTTCTTCTAGAAAAGAGGTTTTACCGGTATCGCTCGTGAATGAAGAAGATGTGAACGACGAGAAGAGACCTGAACGTTTCGTGTACATCACTCATATGTCTTGTTCGAGTCAGATTCTTGATCCGTCGACAGTTAAAGATCCCCAATCTATCGGATGCCACAGCTGTGAAGGTCGGTTATGCTCTACTAAAAATCCAAAGTGTGCATGCATTAAAAAAAATGGCGGCTACTTACCGTACCACAACGGTCTTCTAGTATGTCGTAAACCGATGGTTTACGAGTGTGGCGAATTATGTTCTTGCCCTTTAGATTGCCAAAACAGAGTGGTTCAGTCCGGTTTGAAAATCTCTGTCCAAGTGTTTAAGACAAAGGATTGTGGTTGGGGGTTACGTTCTTTGGAGCCGATTCGAGCTGGGACTTTCATCTGTGAATTTGCTGGTTTAGTTATGGCGAAAGAAGAAGTAGAAGAAGAAGATGAAGAATATATGTTTGATAGCTCTCGGGATTTTAACCGGTTCAGGTGGAACTACGAACCGGAGCTTGTTGGTGAGGATTGTAGGGAACAAGTTTCTGAGGTTTTTAACCTTCCGTCGCCAATCTTGATCAGTGCAAGAAGGTATGGAAATGTTGGTCGGTTTATGAACCATAGCTGCTCGCCAAATGTTATGTGGCAACCTGTCGAGTGTGAAGAGAACGGTGAATCGTATGTTCGCATTGGTTTTTTCGCAATGAAGCACATTCCACCATTGACGGAGTTGAGGTATGATTATGGAATGTCTTGTGTAGCTGAGGAGGTTGGAGAAGATGGAAGGAGGATTTTCAAAGGTAAAAAACTCTGTCTTTGTGGTTCACTCAACTGTCGTGGCTCTTTTGGGTGATTTTGACTTGTATCATTTCTTTCTTCTATTATTGTCGTTAGACTTTTTTTTTCCAGCTTGCTGTTGGTTTTTTTTGGGGAACATTGTTGCTGAGTTTTTTTTTTTTGGTTTTGTAATTTCTTTTGAAGCTTTAATCCAGAATTTTGGGTGATACCTTTTAGCTATTTTGCCCAGATTGTTTCTATCTAATCTTAAGTACTGTTCATTGTCGTACTGTCCGCAGTCCGCACATGTGTGTATGGTGTGTTCTCGAATACGTCTTTGGTTTGTGTGTTTCGGTTATGTTAAATCAACTAATGTCTTTTTTTTTTTTTAATCAAGGAGCGTCAACAAAGTTAATTACGTTATTGCGTCGAAGTATAAATATGTTCTAAGTTCTAACCTAACAATATATGATCATTATTTGCATATGAATATTAGGTAGTCTGAATGGGATTGCATCAAATGTAAATTATATAATCATCTCTTTAAAATAAAACTACACATACATCCCAGATGAGACACAATTCTCAGTTGCATTAATTTTTCGAAAGAAGATTTGTTGAAGGACTCGAAACGGTAGAATCTCTCAGCGTGTCTTGTCACTTCCAACTAAGGACCAAATTTTACATTTACTACGGTGTCGATAAAGCAAATAAATCGACAAATTTTCAAAACAAGGAAAATGTGAAAAAAGCAGAAAAAACAAAAAAATAACACGACAAATCCTCGTCATGCAAGGCAACTGGCAATAATCAAACGGTTCAAAAAGACATACCTCTTTATAGTTTAAATTTTTTATTCATAGTAAATACTAACAAGTCAAAAATATATTATTTCTTCCGTTACATATATAAAAGTTAACACATATTAAAAAACAAGTTAGTTTTCTTTTTTTAATCTCTATTTAATGCATTATTTTATATGATTATCTTAATTAATAAGATAAGAAAATGGGATAAAAATAGAAAATTTATCAAAAAATTACATTAAGAATGTTTAAAACAACACTATTTTGTGACACATGTAAACAACACTTAAAGTAAAACAAAATTTTCACTAAAGAACGACACTTATTAATTTTTAAAAAGGTAACTAATAATCTCCATTCTTACACCGCTTTATAGTCCCTTTATATAAGACCATCTTTCTCATAATCTTTTTCACACACAACAATTGTTTTCAACTATCTCTCTTTGAATTTTTCTTCCTCTCTCTCTCTCTCTCGAAAATGAAGCTCTCTATGCGTTTGGTCTCAGCTGTTCTCCTCTTGTTCGTGATATTCGTTAACACAGGTTCATTACTAATAGCTTAATATCTACGTCTGAAAATATGCAATCGTTTACAATTATCGATAACATATTTCAAAATTTACAGTTTCTATCGATTGTTCTAGTGAATGCTCCTATATAAAGTGGTTTTTACTAATTGTCCTTCCAAATGAGATTTTAATTTTATTTGGCTATGATCTATGTACTTGGATCTTCAAGACTAATTTGATTTAGGTCAAGGATTCGTTTAATAAAAAACTTATGGCTAACCAAGCTTTTTTGGCTGTTTTTTTTTTAAGGGATGGGTCCTTTCACAGTGGAGGCACGGAAGTGTGAATCGTTGAGCCAGAAGTTCAAAGGTGCATGCGTGAGCGAAAGCAACTGCGCAAACGTGTGCCACGGCGAAGGTTTCAGCGGAGGTGATTGCCGTGGACTACGCCGTCGTTGCTTCTGCACCAAACAATGCTGATCCATCAATCAATATCCTCATAACTCAAAATCGTCCATCCATAATATCGTCTTATTTACTTCTTTCTCTCTAATCCTAAGTATTGTACCTTGTCATACCGAACATGTGTGTTTGGTGTGTTCTCGAATAAATCTTTGGTTTCTGTATTTTCGGTTTTAATGTAATGTTAAATCAACTAAATCTCTTTTTTAATATTATCAAGGAGCGTTTACAAAAGATGTTATACTCACGTTAATGCGTCGATATTGATAAAATCGGGTAGATCTGAAATCGTAGTAGTTATTACTCAAAGATTTTAAACAAATGTTTAGCTAATTATCCATTCATTGCTTCCGACAAAACAAAAAAAGGGGAAAAGAGAGAAGCAAATAAACCCAAAACGATACTATGATAACATTTCCATTATAATTCATAGATATAAGCCGTACAGGCAACATATATATAGACAACATAAGACCATTTTACACCACCTTCTTTTTACTATAGCTATGTAAAACAAAGACCATTGACCAGCAAAGAAACATAGAGAATTACACATGCATGTGACCATACCATCGACCTTATTTATTTAACAAGTACGTCACTCTTTTTTACTTATCAGCTGCCACGTTTGGTGTTTTACTTTTAGTTTCCCTTTGGGGTGGTGTTAAGCTCCTCCCAAGCTTCCGTCCAAGTGACCATCCCATCTGCAAGCTTGATGAAGTAAGGATCCACTGTTCCAAGCTTCTTCTTCACGAGCTTAGATAGCTCAAGGTAGCATTGCTGCACCGTAGTGCATTCTTTGGGTAGTGTCACTGATTGAAAGAAAGGTACTGCCTGTTCCTGCCAGAATATTCCATTGAACTTCTTCTTCAGATTCTCAAATCGGTTGCTAGCTTTTTTGTGGTCTATGTAAGGCAGACCCGTCTTCACTCCCCATCCCATGTGGTCACATATCACCTATATTTTCCATTGTCCAAAACGTTATAGTAGAATATATTGTCCATTGTCCAAAACCACGGAAGAGTTATATATTAAGGAGTTATATATATAGATAGTAGCTACCTTCATACACCAACCAGCCCACATGTCGTCATAACCTGTGATTGGTTGCCCATCTCCCATAAGCCCAAAGTACATAGCCGGGCCAATGAGCTCACGGTCAAAAGCGAGGTTCATGCCGCACATAGAGAAAAGAGTTCCCTTGGGGATGGTCATGACTGCATCAACGTACCTATACATGTAACCAAGACTAATAAGTAAGCAAAACGGAAGATAGTAGATTCATGATCTTTAAACTATTAAAAAGAAAAGGAAATTTGGCTGTCTCTCTATGGAGAGATCAATTTGCCTGTTATTTCTCTCAAGTGGCTTCACAATCTGAGTGGGAGCATCATAATCAGGGAAGTTGAGCCAGAGGCCATGAGAGACCACAGTTTTAGCACCCTCGCGCATACTGAAAGGGTTTCCATGAGTAAATTCAGCGTCGTGCATACCAAAAGGGTTTCCACGAGTAAAGTCGGCCCCATCTCTGAATGGATCATAAAGTGTGTTAAAGTAATGTGGAGTTGATGGAGATATGAGGTTCTTGATATGCTGCTCAACCGCATTGATCTCTTTTCCAGATGGATCCTTTGCAACCTACATAATTTTCCCCAAAAACAAACATCATAAGAGCTCCGCTCTATCCAAATGAAAAGAAAAAAAGGCATAATTTACAAACATTGGAGATAACTTGAGAAGCAAGATAAGTTAAGCAATATTACACTTGGACTGCAAGATAATTTATCACCGAACGAACTACTAATGAATGAGGGAGAGCAACTTACGAAGCAATCATCATCAATGGTGTAGATGTACTTCTTCTTGGAGACCAAGAAACCGAAGCAACGGCAACCAGAGTCTTGGAAGGAAATGCAAGAGGCCTTGTCACCCAAGATTCGGTTGATGTCGTTCCTGTTGTACATCTCATAGTCAAATCCTTCTGGGACCTTGATGGTCTTGGAAGGATCACCGTCTTGAACGATGATCAGATGGTACTGCTCAAAGAATGGCCTCCACATCTCCAAGAAGTCCAGGTCACGGACCGTTGGGATCACGATGTCGAGCTCATCTTTCAGCATAGCGATTGGTTTCACTGAGGAAGGCTGTTGCTCCATTTGAGATAAGTAAGAAGTTGGATAAGAGAGATAGATGGTGGTGATGTACGATTTTGGAAATGGGTCCTTCAGTATTTATATAGGTGAGACGTGAGAATAACATTATATTAATTGAATATAAAATAGTAATTACTTCAATTATCCTTTGGCCGAACTTGCTTGATGTTTCTTGTTTTTAGTCCCCCCATTCAATTTTTTTATATATTTTCTTACATTAAAAATGCGAATTAGACGTTAAAGAAGGAATTTGATGTCACATGTTGTTGATGACTGCTATCACTCCGAAGCCACAACCTTTACTAGAGATCAACTATGACATTCTTCTAAATATAATTAATTCTTTAGCGTAAAAATAATTGTCAAAATAAAGATGAAAAAGATATTACATGTCGACAAAAAAAAAAATATATATTACATAATAGTTTGGATTTCTGATATGTTTTTAAAAACGGTTATTCGGATATTGTTAACAAAAAAAACGAGATATAACAGAATGGTTTTGATTCCTATATATTTTTTTTTTAAGAACAGTTATTTGAATATTGTTAACAAAAAAGGGAGATATAACTGAGCGTTTTTCGATTCACAATTTTTTTATAGGAACGGTTATTTGGATATTGTTAACAAAAAGAAAACGAGATATACCAGAACAATTTAGATTCCTGAATCTTTTTAAGAACGGTTATTTGGATAATGTTTACAAAAATAAATTTCGAGATATAACAAAATGAAATATATATATATATTTTTTGTCAACATCATCTACACCTATACCGGTCCAGAAATTCAGGCCAATTAGGTAGAGTTTACTATATTTTATTATATCCAATATAAATTGTCAAAAATATACATAATTAAATGAGATATCAAAAATCAAATAATAATTTTATCTTATCTCATTCATTCTTATAAAATGAATATTTTTAGTGGAATTAACTAGTAGGATGTTTGTTTTATTATTTAGATTTAAGCAAAATGTAGATGAATGTTTCATTCTAACAAATTATTTATCTTCTAACTAGAAAATAAATTTGCATCAGAAATTTGAGCAGTATCATAAGTGATGAATTTTGAACAAAAAAAAACTGATTTAAAAGATGTTTGTCTGATTGTATTGTATCCCGGCCAATTTTCAAAATTTTAAACTATCATAGGCAAAAGCAAATAAAAAACGGCAAGTGGTGATTGATTTGCTTAAGAACAAGAAATGAGTCACATTTTTCATCACAATCCAAATAAACGCTTCTGACATTTTCTTACTCTCTAACCCATATCACGTGAACGTCTCTTTCGTGTGTTGTTCAAAGACGTTTTGAGCAAACCATTGCCCCAAACAGATACTTTAGGCTGTTGAGTTCTTTGATATGTTATGCTTTTATTATTGACAATCATTCTCGTATATACAACTGATCGAGAATTACCATTGAGAACTGTGGGTTTTGCTTCTTGAAAACTATGACGTGACTTTGTATATCCATATATAGGAGCCCTGTAGAGAAGATTAAATAATCTTTCTCTTTTTCAATTCCCCTCAAGACTTAAAAGTTTTAGATTTTAGATTTTGAGTCGTTTGGTTCTTGAAAGATTATTGCATGTTATCATTTGCTACATATTAAAACGGAGACTTCCATAATATCAAACTAGTCATATATAGTTTTGGGGTGCAAAGTTAAATAAAATACGACTTAAGTAAATATGTTCTTTAACCATTCTACAATTTCATCATCTATTATCATCATCCTTTGGACCTTTTCTTCTCATCATTGCATTGCATAGCCTTGTCGCGTCAACGTTACTTTGACACAAAGTTTCAACATTTACCCACTAGAGCTAAATCCTGATGAGTCAACACTAGAACTACTTGATCCACTTGATCCACTTGCTAGAGTGGTCTGTGAAAACAAAAGAAGATACAATTTTTTAAAAGCAGTAAGATCAGAAGACCTGAAATAACAATTTATTATGGAAATCTTACCTGTTCTTGGATAATATTGTGAGCAGATCCAGCATCTCTTATTGAATGGAACCCCATTATCTTGCTCAAGCTCTCTTTGTACTCAGTCACGTATCCATAAATATCCCAAAGTGTTTCCATGTCAACACTATCAAGATCTAGCTCGATCTCACCATCTTGTAGAGAGGGTTCTGGATTCCGCTTCTTTATAATCTGAACAACTGTCTCTATTTTGTCATGAGGAAAGTCCAGTAGCTCTTCACTGAGTCTCCGTTTCTCATCAGACGTCAGGTCCCTAATATTAACAGGCACTTCCTCTTCTTTTTCTTCTTCTTCTTCTTCAGGCTTCTCGGGGGCACTAGTGATAGTTTTCAGCTTCTTGTTTCTCCCAATGGTTTGACCTTCTCTTCTCATCATTGCATCGCATAGCCTTGCCGCGTCAACGTTATCTCTAACATTATGAACCCTAATCACATTGTCACCTCCCATTATCCCAGCAGTAACACAAGCACCAGTTGCTGGATCTCTTTCACTTTTTTTTTTTTTTTTTTTTTTTTTTTTTTTTGGTTTTAAGGATCTCTTTCACTTGCCTCAGGACGGCCACAAATATCTCCCAAGAATCTCTTCCTTAAAGGTCTTATAAGCATAGGTGCATGAGACAATGCTACGCTCTTCTTAGCCATCTCTTTCCGGATTTTCGGAAGATCCATGATAATATCTAGATTGTCATCAATTTTCTTCGAAAACCCTATTCCTGGATCAGTCATAATCCTCCAAGCTGGAATCCCAGAGAGCACTGCGTCTCTTACTCTCGAATAAAGCTCTGAAGCAACATCCTTGCATACATCATTATACTCCAAAGTCTCTTTGTTCTGCATTGTACATGGATCTCCTCTCATGTGCATAACCATGTAAGGAACAGCAGAATCCGCAACAACCTTATACATATTCGGGTCTAAATGATACATCATTAAAAATATCATTCAGCTCCATTTCTTATTGCTTCTAAAGCAACCTCAGAGTTAAAAGTGTCCACAGATATAAGCTTCCCCTTCATTTCTTGCATGCCACGCAAAACTTTTAAAACCGGAATTAGTCTATCTCTTCTTGACAAGAAATCCTTGACGCCATTGGTCTTGTGGATTGTGCGCCGATATCGATTATATCTACACCTTCAGAGATCATAGAACGGACTCGAGAAACCGCGGAATCTATGGACTGAAACTTACCTCCATCACTAAAGCTATCAGGGGTAAGATTAAGTATACCCATCACATAAGTTTTCTTAGAAAAATCCCATAATTGATCTCCTATTGGTAAAACCCTTTGGATACCGTGTCTCCCAAGCAACGATTCTCCACCAAGTTTCTCCCACGCTTGGAAAATTCCACCTTGATGCATTGCTAGTGAATGCCAATATGAAACTATATGAACATCAAGAACATCTGATCCAAGCAAATCTACCAAAGGTGCTAATACAATTATACAAATGGTCTTTCCCAAATCCTCTCATGAGGAATGATGAGTTTATCAGAAGTTATTTCTAAGCTTCCCATAGAAGAATATGTCCAAGTGAAGTGGTCTTGGTCCATACCTTATACCATTTTCTTGACGACCCATCTCTTTCTCGATTTTCTTGAGAACGGCCAAGAGCTCACGAGGGCCGTGCTTTGTTACGCCTCTTACAGCAGCTTTGAGAAACTTGGGCTGATCAGTCACATGAACAGGCTCTGTCTCGTACAAACAACTGTGCCTCGTTACACGGATCCCATAACTTTTCATCAATCGTATAGCCTCTTTGAATTTATTCATTCTGTTTCATCAATCGACCCGTCGTCCTCTTATGGATATTACTTTCAGGGATTATATATCAAATTATAGATTTAGTGGTTTTATTAACCGTCCTCTCTACTTAATCTCTTTCTTCAAAAATATAAACTCTTTGGGTTTGTCATCTCGAATCCATTTTCAAAGTCCAGTATGGAGTAAGTAAATAGTAAATACACAGAGACTGAAAGACAGAATGATTTGGCCACAAAACAACCTCCTTGAAATTCTTAGGGCAATGATTCACATCTAAAATAAGAATATTAACGACCAGACCACAGAATAAAAGGTTGTGTCGTTACTTGTGTAGTAATCCAGCAAGTGTTTATATAAGGGAAAAAGCAAGAGATTAAACAAACAAAACAAAGCAAAGATGTAAGATTGTGTGATTCAAAAATCTTAAGAGCTTAGGGTTTCTCCTTTTTTGGCTTCTTTAGGAGCAAGCTTCCTAAAGCTGTGGTCAATGCAGTGGATGTCATCAACGAAGCTCTTAGTAAACCGATAGCCTGCATTAGTGTCAGATTTAGCATAGTCTGAGTAGGTATGTTGGTGAATATATTTAGAGAATAGTATTAGAGACATACCTCTTTTTTGCTAATGTCGATTACATGCTCCTCAATGTCATCCAAGTCCACATTCCACTTCTTTAATATGCAAATAGTTGAAGACGAGTTTGTAGCTGAGATGGTAAGATCATCTGAAATCATGTACGTTGTCCCTCTTTTCAGAAGCCCATTGCTACCCTGAATCGTTGATTCTTCACTTCCATCATAGTTTGGATACATCATTTTCAAGTCATAGCTTTGAGAGTTTATTTTCAGCGTCCACAAAGGGGGATCTAATTTGCTACAGACACCAAGGAGCGGTGCTTGGAAACTATAGTTCCAAGGAAGCTTAGATATGCAAGTGGATGCATTTGTGGCTTGGCTAGAGCTCAAGCTCCTCATGCTTTTACAAAAGTTTTCAATGCATCCCAATTCGATATTGTTTCCGGATATTCCCCACACTGACTCCAAAGGGACAGCCAGGAACATTAGTAGTAAATCCACAAAGTCTTGCCCGCTTTCAGCATAAAGAACCTTCTTATCCTGCTTCCTAACAAATACAGTGACTGAGAGTATTTCATTTGATTCTGCTTTACCTCCATCTTGCACGGTGGCTAAGCTTGGCATGTTATGCGTCCGGGTAATGATACACGACTTTCGTTTCATCAAGAACGCATCAGTCAAGGGAGTATCCGCAGAGAATAAGCATTCCAACAAAGCTAGTACCTAGATTTGTGTTTCAGTATATCAAAAAGCAATGGCATGTAAAAAAACAATTTCATAAAAAAAGAAAACAAAAAGGTAGTTACCTCTTTGTGACCAACATCTACAAGCATCTCATCCAGCTTATCAAGATCTGTATAACCAAGTTCTCTGAGACTCTTCAAGGTGAGAGCAATGGAATTAAATCTAACTTTCATATTGTCTAAAATGATGAAAGACTTCTTGTCGCTGACAAAAATTTCCGTAAGGACACCATCACGTACTTTAATCTCCTGCTCCATAAACTTGCCACAAACACATTTTAAGGAGCAGAAATTACTATAAGCCTTGGAGCATGACTGCGAATTTCCCAAATCCGGGCACCGATAGTACTTGGTGGTGGTGTCGTCGATGTTAAGCTTAAGCCGTTTGCATGGCCTCTCTTTCGCATGTATCGGATACAAAAGTATATCCTTACAAGCCTCAGTCAAGAAATTATCGTTGCTCATATCAACAACACTTTTGTAGAGATTGTTGAAACAACCTATTGTAGTAGCGGCAGTTTGAGACTTTTGATTCTCGTGATGTTTCCGCAGCAATCTCACAATGGTACCCATCGGCAGTAACAAAAAACTAAAGAGTACATCAACAAAATCCTTCCCTACCTCGGCCAAGACGACCTTGTTTTTCTCCTTGTCGACAAGAAGTTTCAGCCTGAATGTTGGTTCCTCTGAAAAGTCAGTTCCACCCATTGATAACAACTTAACAAGCAGGTGAATAGAAGTAGTTTTCAAAATTTCTTAAAAGGGGTTTCAAGTCGAAAGGCTTTTTGTTTATATGAATGACGGCATAAACTGAGACATGTTACACAAACATATTTGACCTAGCTTCCTTAAAATATTTACACATATTGAGAAGATACATTTTGCCTATTTAATTATATATTTCTATTTTTTTTTTTTCCTTTTTAATAGACTTGGAGTTCCAAAGTTTCATACTTCCCAATAAAATTAAGCGAATCAGAAAACAAAACCTTTGACCTTCCATCTTCCAGATGACTGTTTGACGAAAGTATACCCGAAGAAGTTCAAACGATGTTAATTGGGGTTCACTTTATTGGCAGATTTACTAAAGCTCTTTATGGCGAGTTAATCTCTTCGACTTTATCATCTAGATGGTACGCATCTCGAATTTAAACTTTAATTAATCAAATAAAAGTAAAAATAAAATTAAGCGGGGACAGGGATCGATCGAACCGAGGTTTAATGGGGTTCTTAAGGCATAATTTTTCCAGGGAGAAAAACTCACCCATTATATCATTAAGAATGGTGGGTTTTCCTGAAAACTATTATGCGACTTTGTATATGGATGAGCCTTATAGGAGACCATCAGATACTCTTATTACTTTTACAACTTCCATTAAGGGTTTTAGATTTTCAGTCGTTGATGAAGTTTTTAGATTTAACTTATTTCCTAAAATCTTATTGATCTCAATGCATATACATTTGGTGGTTCATTTTGATTTATATAATATGGAAAACTGAGCATGATCATATTGTTATTCCTTTTCTTTGCAGAATGGGAAGCCAACTAAGAGACTTGGAACTTTCCAAATGAAAGGCCAGCCAATCCAATAGAGTTTGTAGTTTATAATTTTTTTATCAAAATAATTTGAGTCTTACGAATGAAACTGAGATCCAATGGTCAGTGATCATGGCATCGAAGGCAAAATGTCGTCCAGATGGACCTGGAACATTGACTCTCGTGGTACAAGATTCACCATGTTCAGTATGTAAACCATGCACTCTGTTTTGCAACACTTGGGTAGATTTCTGCAATAACTGGATGTAGTAAAGGTCTATGAACGTAAAACTAAAGTGGATTTGTTGGTTTGGATTTTCAAGAAAGCTAATATGAAAACTGGAGCTTTGTGGTTGTTGTGATTTGTGAGTGATATTTTAGTAGGTGGAAATATATAGTGCTTTTATCTGCAGATGGTACAAGGATGTGCATGCATATCTCATGCCTTTTTTTTCCTTGAGAGGAATCAAAGGCTGGCATGGTAAGGACTACTTGAAGAATATTGTTATAGAAACCTGCAATTCATGAAAAATTTCCAGACAGAACTTCCAATGATTCTCCTTATTGTCAAACTATACCAGGATATGGCTGTGTTTGGTAGAGGAACTAATGATTCTTTAATAGTTTCAGTGTCATAACAGTTCATGGGTCAAATAATAGAAGCGTGCATGTAACAAAAATGTCCAAATTTGCCAAATACATAAATAGTTCCAAACTGTCATTAAGAGAAAATCACAAGAGTGATAGAGAGAGTCATAAAAAATCATCAAAGGTAGCAAAAGAAGCACTTAAACCAAAGAAGGGCTCAACTATAAAATAATGTTTATTTCTAAGATAAATTGATGGAGATAGAAGACAATAACAATGAAAAATGAAAAGTAGAACAGTTTAAAAAAATAAAATTACAGATAATAAATAATAAGATACAGAAACAAACAAGAGCAATGTCCATCAGGGTAATATCTTTTCACCACGAAATATACAATCTGTGGTACAATATATCAATCCAGAGCACCTAAAAGCTATTTGTATGAACAATGCGCCTTACAATAGTTGCAGTCTAGACATATGTTGATTGTTGGCCAGAACATCTATCTTTCTTTTAAAGTAGAGCCATGATGAATAAGGCTTCATGTATAAGTCATATCCAAGCACACATTCAGTATGTAGGGTGACACAGCAGTACTCATCACACACATAAAACCGTTTTGTTTTATCTATTTTTCTCTCGCAACTTTCACACCAATACGTCACATCACTTGTCTCCTTCCCACACGAAAGAGTGAGCGTATGCTTATTATGCTTATACCTCACCTTTTGAGGTACCACAGCACATTTGAAACACAAAGCAAAGTTGCAGTCGAGGCAATTGAATGTTTCCATGTAAGATTTGCAGATATAACATCTTCTTGACACATCTGGTTTGGATGTTAGGAACAATGGATGTATATGACTTACATGGACTAATGGCTCGGAAAGTGTGGCACATTGCACATGGAGCAGGAAACGACATCCTTCTTCACCGCACGTATAGAAGAAAACAACCTTTACACACCAAAGAACAAGCTGTACATGCATTCTTATGAAAATTTATAACATTGTTATATTCTCCCCTTAGTGTGAGCAGATGTGGATGTATTGGGTGATGTATTTTGCGAGAAAGATTTGCACATTCTTCGTGGAGAATGAAATCACATTGCATACATGAGTAGAAGTTACCGAAATAGATCGGTGAAATGCATGCTTGACACAGCTTACTGTCGTCGTAATCTTTGCACGTGTTCGTATCAAGTGTCAAATGATGTTCTTGATGGCTGAAATGTTGTATGACCCCTTCCCTTATCTTTACAAACGGCTCAGCTACTTCTTCTTCAGCTTCTTCTAGCTCTCCCTCAAGTTCTTTATCATCCCACACATTGCTCTGCGTAGCACATCTTGAATGAGCCACATACGAACAACCGTCCTTGACGCAAGAATAGCACCCATAGTGTTTGTCGATATTTGTGCGGCAAACACTACAAGAACAATCACCTTGGTCAAGAGAATGGGTAAAAGAGATACGGTGGGGATGGCGACATATCCTTATGACACGTGGTACGTTGGTACATCTTAGATGGACTACAAAGTCACAAGAAGGACACATATAGAGAGGGGAGCTTGGCTCTGCCAAGGCACATAGGTTACAAGTTAACGAGGTCTGCCTTGGAAACAAAGCAAGTGGATGCTCATGCCACTTAGGATGGTATATAGATAACACATGTTGTTTCCCCACACAGCCCAAATTCATAGCAAAACCGCAAGTCGAGCAAAAAAGAAGTACCCCTCTCAGATATTCATCACAGCAATAGCATTCCTTCTTTAAACAAAAGTTACTCAATAAGACAAGCTGAAGTGGTTGTTTTCGATGAAGAGTGTGTTGCATCTCAACGGGGGCCTTGTTATATTCTTCATGGTTCTGGCCAAAGCAACCTAGGCAGAGAACATGGGTAGCATCTTCTCCAGTTAATCTGAATTTCTCCCAGTTTAAAGGGAAACAGTTCCACTTATTACGGTGGTGCCGAGTGACTTCTGTATCCAACATATCCATATGAAATTTTCCTTGTTGCCAACGTATATGTGTTTGAGGGGATAAGGAAATAAGTTTCTCCCACTTTGAATTCATAGAGATGACGAGAGAGAATATTTGATAGATGAGTGATAAGAGCTTCAGCTCCGGCTCGACGAACAATGTTCGATCAATGAGTGAGATGATCTCATCATGCATCTGGTCAGAGTCTATAGAGTTGACCGGAGAGATTATTGGAGAAAGGAGTGATATGAGATCCGACAGAGACTTCGGCTGGGAATCCAAATCCATAGAGTTGAAGATAGAGATTGCTTCAGTAACGAGTGACATAAGCTCCGACGACTCCGGCTTGAGCTGCGGATCCAGATCCATTGACCCGAGCAGAGAGATTATTTGAATAATATACGATGGGACCTTTGAATGCAAGACCGTGACCCACGGCGACTCAAAATCCGAATCCATGCTGTCCTCGCGCGAGATTAGGCGAGTAATAAGTGATATGAGCTTCGACTCCGTATCCGAATCCATAGAGTTGACGCGAGAGATTGGCTGTGTAGCGGGTGATATTAGAGATTCTTGAGTCTTGACTATGTGTTAGTTGCTTTCTTGATCGGTATGTTTCTGAATGCGTAAGAGTAAAATACATAATACATAAATATATTATTGGACTTAGTGCTCTCCACATGGATGTGTTTTATGTTTCTCACGCAATTTTCTTCATTTCATTTCTATATTATATTAGCCCCCCACAAATTGCGGATCAGAGAGCCTAGATCGACCTACGCAACTTGCACATTTTTTTTTTTTTTGGTGAAACCCCGGGAGCTAGCTCCCAGTTTTATTAAGAAAAGTAAAAAGAGTTTACACACGGACTTGCCGCAACCTCGAGTCTCCGGACTCATCATCACGCAAAATGGGCAATAAGTCCAGAGGAACTAAATCAAAAGTATGTAAACCAAATGGTAAAGAAAATGCATAGTTTGCCAATCCATCAGCTAGACGATTGGCCTCCCTATACACATGAGTGATTCGGACTTCCGAGTCCTTTGATAAAAAGCCTTGGCACAGATGCACCAGGAATGACAGCGGATGAGTGTCGCATATCCCTGTCTTCATGAAACCAACCACCAATGAAGAGTCCACCTCAACTTCAAGTCTTGTGAATCCCTTCTCCCACGCAATACATAACCCGTAATACAATCCCCATAACTCAGCCATATGTGCCGTGCATCTTCCAATATTCAGTGCAAATCCGCCACGCCATTGACCGTCTCCGCCACGCAATGCATCTCCCGCCGTAGCCAAGCCTGGGTTTCCATGTGACGCACCATCCGTATTCAACTTGATCCAGCTTACCAACGGAGGGCTCCATGAAACCAGTCTGTCTTCACTCGCTACTGACCTTCCTCCATTCTCCATATACTTCGCTTGAGACACCTCCTTGGCATAATCTTTGACGAACTTGACCCTATCACTCCATAGCTTGTTTTCCCCAAAGATGTTACCACACCTCCATTTCCAGGCCCACCATACAGACACGGAAAATAGCGTAGACCATATCCCAGACTCCATCTGCGAAGAGTCACTTAAATTCACAAACAGCCACTCAAGTAACGGCATAGTAAAGAAAGCCTGCCGTTTCTCTCGCGGGACAATACGCTCCCAGATTCCACTCATGGCTGGACAATCTCGGAGGATATATAAACTAGATTCAATCCCTGCTTTACACACCTGACAAATCTTAGTGTCACTAATATGCCAGCGAAAGCGCTCCTGATTTGTCATGATGCCATGGTTTCCAAGTAGCCACATAAACACACGCACTCTCTCCGGTGCTGTAACCCGCCACACTCTCCTGAAGAACTGACTCATGTCTTGTCTCGGAGTTCCGTCGCGTACAAGAAAGCGATACGCAGATGAGACCGTGAAACGGCCATCCGGTGTTCCTCCCCACGCCATCTTGTCCTGTTTACCCGAGACCCTGTTTACCACCACTGCTGCAAGCTCAAGCTTTGTGTTCTCAGATACATGCGGGGCAATCTGTGTCAAGTCCCAGCCTACGCCATCGATCCACAAATCACTGGCTGTTAAGCCTAGGAGTGCTTCGGGAACCACAGCTCCCTCTACATCCCTCAAGGCGTTCCCTAGAAGCCACTTGTCAGTCCAAAAAAGCATGTTACGACCATCTCCCATTGCCCATGTGTGACCCGGCTGGAGCACATCTCTAATTCCCAGCACCACACTTCTCCATGTCGAAGACCATGTTCCTTTGTTGGTCAACCACGCTTTCTCATGTATGTCTCCAATACGATATTTATTTCGTAAAACTCGTGCCCAGACACTCCTATCATCCTGCATCAACCTCCACCCAACCGTAGCTAACAAGGCCTTATTCATGAGATTTGTCTTCCATATCCCAAGGCCGCCTTCTTCCTTCGATCTACACACCTTCTCCCAACTAACAAGATGCTGTTTTCGCTTCTCATTTGTGGATCCCCATAGAAAATCTCTCAAGACACGGTCAAGACGCTTTGTAATCGATTCCGGTAGTTTCACTGAGCTCATCGTGTGCACTGGTACAAAGCTAAGAACCGATTTTTCAGTGTGATACGACCTGCCAAGCTCAACATTCGGACCTTCCATCCTGCAAACTTTGAAGACACTCGTTCAAGCACAGTCCCAAACGTGTATTTGTTAATTCTCTTATGGAGGATAGGCATCCCTAAATATCTCCCCAACTCTCGCGTAGCTTGGATACCACTCTCCTCACTTATCGCATTACTTAGTTCCCGAGGTACATTATCCGAAAAGAAGATTTTAGACTTCTCTAAACTGACTTTTTGCCCAGACGCTTGGTAGAATCTTTCCAGTACACGTCTCACGACCCAGATCTGACCCACAGAGGCTTCAGCAAACAGGATCAAGTCATCCGCAAAGCATATATGTGACAATTTAGGCCCTCCACGTGAAAGACTAATCGGTTTTCAGTTTTTCATAGCCACTTCCTGCTCAACAAGGTGACAAAGCCTCTCCATACACAACACAAAGAGGTACAGGGACATCGGATCACCTTGACGCAACCCACGTAGCGGTTTGAAAGGCTCTGTCTTTTCACCATTACGGAGCAAACGAATAGATGGTCCTGACACACACTGCATGACCCATGTAATCCATGTTTCAGAGAATCCGGCTGCTCTTAGGGAGTCCTCCAGAAAATCCCATCTGACTCTATCATACGCTTTCTCCAAATCTAGTTTGAGAAGCATCCAGCCTCGTTTCCCTTTCTTTCGCCGCATGGAGTGTACAGCCTCCTGCACAATAACAATATTGTCTGTACTCAGACGACCCAGAATGAAACTTGATTGAGCTGGCCCAATTAGCTTCGTCATCACTGGTTTCATTCTTCCTACCATAGTTTTTGTTATGATCTTAAACAGAACATTACATAAACTGATCGGACGCAGCTGTTGAATCTTCTCCGGACTAACAACCTTTGGGATCAGCACTACCAGTGCATCGTTCGTAACCTGCAGCAAGACTCCCGTTTGAAAGAACTCAAGCACAAAACGTGTGACTGATGCACCAACCTCCTCCCAACACCGCTGATAGAACACCGGTTGATACCCGTCTGGGCCCGGTGCCTTGTAGCTTCCCATCTGCCTAACTGCTTGTACTATCTCATCTTCAACGAAGGGGATACTCAACCTTTCAAACTCACCATCGGTTAAATTCATAAAGCCCTCATGTGGTAATGCTTCAACCTCCTGCTCCACATAATCTAATGAGTAAAGACGCTGAAATCAACTTCTCTAACTCCGGTGCAGTAGAAATCAACACACCCTCATCATTTTTCAACATCTCTATACGGTTCCTCCTTCGCCGTATAATATTCGTTGTGTGAAAAAATTAAGTGTTACGATCACCATGAGCCACCCATTTCTCTCTAGATTTATGCGCCCACATCAACTCCTCCTGTTATAGCACAACATCAAACTCTTTGATTAGATTAGCTTCCAGCTGGAGCAAAGCATCCGAGCTATGCCTCTCAAGCTCATCTTGCACCTCCTGAATTTCCTTAACGAGTTTCTCCTTTCGGGTTTTAATGTCCCCAAAGATCTCCTTATTCCATTTTCTCAACACTTTCTCCAATTTTGCCAACGCTTTCCTTGTGTCAATATTCGGATCCCACGACGCTGAAAGCAACTCCCTGAAACTCGTGTGACTCATCCATGCCGCTTCAAACCGGAAAGGCCTCCTCCGAGCATTTCCAGTCACTGGTGGCACCAACTGTAGATACAGCGCCGAGTGATCTGAGGCTAGAAACGGTAGATGTGTGACTGTGGCATCTTGCCACTTCAAGCGTGCTTGAGCACAACACAAAATCCGATCCAATCTCTTCGCTACAAAAAACCTCTCATCTTTGCCTCTTTTCCATGTGAAACAGTTGCCCTTGAATCCCATATCTATTAGCATTGTGTCATTGATCCAGTTACCAAACTCCAAAGAATCCGGCGAAAGTTGACCGTTACTTCCAGTTCTCTCATCCACTCGTACGATCGTATTGAAATCTCCCCCTATAATAACAGGTTCATTCACCATCTGAATCAAGTCCCGAAGCTGCATCCAGAGCCCACTCCGGCGACTCACAGAAGGAGCTTCATACACCACAATAATATGAACCACATCGGCCTCCTTCTTCACTCTTACATGTATTAATTGCTCCGCCGAGTGAAGAACCTCTGCGTCTCCAATCCCGTGCCTCCATAACAACCACAAACCACCACTTTGCCCCACCGCATCCACACGAAACGAATTTTCAAACCCTAACCCTTGACAGATTCTTCCAGCCTTCTCTGCTCCGGCGTGGGTTTCGAAAATCGCCAGCATGTCCGTTGACCATTTCTTCAACATGTACCTCATCGATCTTCTAAAATTAGGTTTGTTTGCCCCCGGCAATTCCATAGAAGACAATTCATCTTAATACTAGTATAGAAACATAGAACAACCGGGGAAACCCATCAAGCTCCATTCCGCATAATCGATGCTTCCGATAAAGTCTCTGAAGCAGCCATTGCCGCACTTGCGCTCTCCATCGTCTGATCCACCGTAGATTCCGCCAAGACCCCATCACGATCCTGATTCACACTGTCAGTTCCCTGCTTCTCAGGTCTCTCTGTCACCACGAATCTTTCCGACGGACCGCCCGAGGTCTCGACACGAGGGCACTTTCCACCCACCGGAAACTCGTGTTCTCCACTTGTCGGGCCAAACACTAAACCTTTAGTGGGCCTACCACTATTCGCTTTTCTTACTCGGCCCATATCACCCACTTTGCCACTCCCAATCTTTCTCCCCTTCTGCATCATTCGATTCGAGAGTGGGCCGTGGCCCATCCCAGCTCCAAAGACGATTTGCGTTCCTTGCTCCACACTCTTGTCTTGAGGAGCCACAGGTCGCGGATACATTTTCCTTATCCGTTCTCACCGCTGCATTAACTCTTTCTTGACATATCTCCTCTCTTTCCATACTTTCCTCAAGATTTCCAAATCTGTTGTTGAGCAAGATATTATGGGTATCACTTCCTTTCCTTAACTCACGTGCTTGTCTATCCGTCACCGCCGGAGACACATTCTCTATCGGCTGTCTCCGTCCACGCCGAACCTGCGTGAATCCGTCCTCCATTACTGGCATTTCCTTCTCGCTAGCATTAGCCGGGCTGCCTTGCGTTCCCACCACCGTGCCAACCTCCTGTGCTCTCTTCGGACATGAATGGACCAAATGTCCATAGATTCCACACAAGGAGCAAATATTTGGAAGTCCTTCATAGGAGACAAAGTACCTCTCCCCATTGATCAAAATTGTGCCCTTTAATGGTTTCTTCAGATTAACTCCACACATATCCGTGCAAATCGTGCCCGTTCAAAGCTGAGAGTTGTACCATCCACCCTCACCGGCTTCCCGAGTCCTTTTGCAATTCCCATCAATATGGACTTGTGATAAAAGTTCACCGGAAGGTTCGAGATCCTCACCCACACCGGCGTGGTCTCAATTTCACTTCTCAACGGGTCAAAGTCAGGTGACCAGGCATGCGTCATGAGATAACTGCCAAATACCCTCCATGGCCCTCCCGTTAGGGCAGCCATATACTCCTCCTCCAACTCGAAGCGGATCATGTAAAATTGTCGAGGTAGATCTAAGACATACATCGCTCCCTTAGGTCTCCACATCTCCCGTAACTTCCTACTCATCACCGAAATCGACACACCACGTCCCAAAACCTTCACAATCATACACTTCTTCCATAAGCCATTCATCGCCGTCAAGACCTCCTCCCCAATTGTTACCACCGGCTCCCTATCATCCCCATCTGGAAACTCTAGGTGGAGTCGTGCTTCAACAAACGCGTCATCCACTACATCCTCCGGAACCAGCATACCTCCTGTCGTGCCTCCTGCTACTTTCTGCGCCCACGAACCCGGTGCATCTGGTGGCTCCCCGGGAGGTCGTCCCTTCTCTCCAACGTCCTCCATGTGAGCATTGTGGACTTGCGCCTCCGAAACCCTAGAATCGCCTTTCTCTGCAGACATATCGTAATTGGCAATCACACGGGTTCATCTCTCACTTGCACATTTTCTTCATAAACAAAACAAGCCATTGAATGAAACAGCTATGTTTTTTATGTCGGACTGTACAATTTAATTTACAATATAGCAAGGTGGCAATGGGAAAAAACAACACAAAGACTCATTAATCAACGATTCTGAAATAGTAACTAGACACGGAGAATGGTCTGAACAGCCCAGGAGCATTAAAATAAGCATTTGAAGAAGGAAAGGAATCTTGCCAAGACTCATTAATCAACGCTCTGTCCCATTAATCTTTGCAATGGTACTCTCTTTGGCAAGAAGATGAATAAAAGAAAAGTTAAGTAAAAAAAAAAAACAACAACACAAAGATGAAAGAACTCTTACAAAATAAAATATTGTTAAATATTTATAACGACTTTCATAACATTAGTAAAATATTTAGGGTTTAGAGTTTGAAAATATTGTTAAACCTCTTATCTTTTTGAATATTGTTTTGTTTGACAACAACCAAGATTTATTTAAGTATGGAGTAATTGATATATCCAAGTTTTTAACCAGGTTTTCAGTTATTTGTAGTAATGTTTTCATTTAGTATTGTACCTTCATTAATATTGTTATCATCTTTATATTAATAATTGAGAAGTACATGAAAAAATTATGACAAAAAAAACAATCTAATTATGAAGAGAAGTGTTTGACAACAGATTTAATGAGGGTCAATTTAGTACATTGTAATGTTTGGATACAAGAATAAGAGAAAAAACTATTTTGATAGAAGAATAAATGGAAAAAATTGTTTGGATACAAGAATAATAACTTAAAATAAACCGATGGTTTAGAAAACTTCCATTTTCCAGCTCTTCAAAATCTGCAAAAAAGAAAGTTAAGGGATTATTTGAAAAATACCATACTTATGTTTAAAATTTTGGAAAATATCCTAGATTTTTTCGGTTTTGAAAAATACACTTTTTGAATGTAAAAAGTCTGTTTTGACCTGATTTAAACAGAGCATTAATAAATAATTATAAATTAAAAACGAAATTCAAAAATAATAGAATTAATAAAAAAAATTTCCTTTTTTTTCAGATAAATGCAGTATATGTTAAATTGAAACAAATTTTTATTTTTTGGACATTCATATAAACAACTTAATCTCACACAGTTCAACCAAATGAACCTTTATATAGATTTAAACTTTACATATACCTAAACTTTATAAATTATTAAAAATATAAAAGTGGAGAAATATAATTTAAAACAAACCGATAGTTTAGAAAACTTCCGTTTTCCAGCTCTTAAAAATCTGCAAAAAAAAAACTTAACATAATCTAACGATAATTCCAAATCAATAGAATATGCTTTTTGGATTTTCGGGTTTTTATAGACAAGTTCGGGTTTGGGTGAAAATCTGAGACATAATTTTATAGAGATATAGAGATATAGAAATTGTTCGGGTTTCTTTGAAAATTTCTGTTCGGGTTGGGTTCAGTTTTTTTTTTCAGTTTAGGGTTTTCCGGATTTTTTGATTTCGGTTTTCGGGTTTAGATATATTAAAAAATTGAGTATTTTAAAATTTTGATTAGGTATTGGGTCGGGTTCCGGGTGAAAAAGTTTCCAGATTTTTTTTGTTCAGTCAGGGTTTTCGGGATTTTTTTGATTTCGGATTTTCATTTTAGACATATTAAAAAAGTTTGGGTTTTTAAAATTTTTGATTAGGTTTTTTGGTCGGGTTCGGATTTAGATTTTCTACACAAAACCACAACGTCACACCGCACAAACTCTACTAGTTTATACAAATTATTGAAGCCATGTTTATATAAGTCTCTTTATTGGGAGGCTTGGGACTGTTGGTCGTGGTATCTCAGAAGACGAAATTGTTCCTTGTAACTAATATTTCTAATAATAATTTGTAATAATATAACAGATCAAGTGAAAAAAAAAAATAATAATAATAATAATAATAATAATAATAATAATACTTTTGTAGTGTTTCAAGAAAAGTGGGCAAAAATTACAGAAATGAACAATAATTTGAGATACATAGTCCTATAGAAGCGTCAAAAGTTTGACATAGGTTCAAAACTTCAAATACACTAATGATGATTGATTGGTTTGAGAACCCACATTATCACATTTTACTGGATAGAGTATTGAGTAAAGTTCAAGTTCACGCTTCTCACATTTTACTCTCTAACGGTCTACCCATATCACGTGACACTATCTCGTTAGATAGAGTATTGAGTAAAGTACAGCAAATAATATCAAACGACAAATAGTTTTGATGCAAAGTTAGATAAAGTACAACGAACTTGAGTAAATAGGTTCTTAAACCATGCTACAATTTTATCATCTAATCATCCTTTTTGACTTTTTTTTTTCTCATCATTGCATCGCATAGCCTTGCCGCGTCTACGTTATCTCTAACATTATGAACCCTAATCACATTGGCACCTCCCAATATCCCAACAGTAACACAAGCAACAGTTGCTGGATCTCTTTCACTTGCCTCAGGACGGCCACAAATGTCTCCCAAGAATCTCTTCCTTGAAGGTCCTATAAGCATAGGTGCATGAGACAATGATACGCTCTTCTTGGCCATCTCTTTCCGGATTTTCGGCAAATCAATGATAATATCTAGATTGTGATCAACTTTCTTAGAAAACCCTATTCCTGGATCAGTCATAATCCTCCAAGCTGGAATCCCAGAGAGCTCTGCATCTCTTACTCTCGAATAAAGCTCTAAAGCAACATCTTTGCATAAATCATTATACTCCAAATTCTCTTTGTTCTGCATTGTACATGGATCTCCTCTCATGTGCATAACCATGTAAGGAACATCAGAATCCGCAACAACCTTATACATATTTGGATCTAAAGTTCCTCCTGATACATCATTCAAAATATCAGCTCCATTTCTTATTGCTTCTAAAGCAACCTCAGAGTTAAAAGTGTCCACAGAAATAAGTTTCCCCTTCATTTCTTGCATACCACGCAAAGCTTTTAAAACCGGAATTAGTCTATCTATCTCTTCTTGACAAGAAATCCTTGAAGCCATTGGTCTTGTTGATTGTGCACCGATATCAATAATATCTACACCTTCAAAGATCATAGCACGGACTCGAGAAACCGCGGAATCTATGGACTGAAACTTACCTCCATCACTAAAGCTATCAGGTGTAAGATTAAGTATACCCATTACATAAGTTTTCTTAGAAAAATCCCATAATTGGTCTCCTATTGGTAAAACCCTTTGGATACCGTGTTTCTCAAGCAATGATTCTCCACCAAGTTTCTCCCACGCTTGGAAAATGCCACCATGATGCATTGCTAGTGAATGCCAATGTGAAACTATATGATCATTATCATCATCATCAACATCTGATCCAAGCAAATCTACCAAAGGTGCTAATACAAATGGTCTTTCCCAAATCCTCTCATGAGGAATGATGAGTTTATCAGAAGTTATTCTTAGCTTCCCATAGAACAATATGTCCAAGTCAAGTGGTCTTGGTCCATACCTTATACCATTTTCTTGACGTCCCATCTCTTTCTCAATTTTCTTGAGAACGGCCAAGAGCTCATGAGGGTCGAGCTTTGTTACACCTCTCACAGCAGCATTGAGAAATTTGGGTTGATCTGTCACATGAACAGGCTCTGTCTCGTACAAACAACTGTGCCTCGTTACACGGATCCCATAAATTTTCATCAAACGTAAAGCCTCTTTGAAATTGTTCATTCTGTTTCCAACATTGCTTCCCAAAGCAATCACGACTTCTTGCTCAGTTGTAGTCGTTTCCGAAGATGCCAAATCTGAGTTATAAACCAAAAGTTCACATCTTATCATCATAAAGCTTAAACAAACAAGATGGAAACGGAGGAAGAGGATACGAACCCATTTTTTTACAGTATTTTATTTGGTAAACCTGGCCAAAGTATTGATATAATCTGCTTAGATCTGATCTGAATATATTAGTATAATCGTGCAACAACTTATAAACTGCAAAATGTACATATAAATTTGGAGATTTGAAGCAAAACTAGTTGTGTTATAAAACAACCCCAACAAAGTAAGCCAATTCATATACCCATATGAACTAGTTGTGTTATTCAAGTACCTTATGTCTTTTTACCGGTTGTTAAACTAACTTCTTAGGAATTGGACAGGTTATATACAAGTTCACATCCATAACAAAAAATGAGATCGGTTAAATCTAAATGTGAATATTGACATATTGATTATTCCAATTTGTTGACATTATTTTTAGATAAGAGAGAGTAACTCTTTTTTTGTTGCCAAGTTCACTTTCTATTAAACATGTGTCCTACTTTGATACTATATCAGAAACTCTGTGATTTATTTCTTTTTAATATTTTCAATTTTCCTATATTCTCTATTTTTCAACAGATTTTGTTTTTAAGAATTTTTTTTTTCATTCAATGAATGTTTATTATCCTTACTAATTGTTTTTTTTTCTATCTAAGATAAATATTAGGAGAGTTGACAAAAAAAAAAAAAAAAAAAAAAAAAAAGATAGATATTAGGAGAAATAATTGAAAACTATGTGTCCACCACTCCACCTATTTGATTTTCCATCTCAAAAACCACAAAAAAAAATAGAAAATAAATCTATAGCTCAATTTTTTCTACAATTACTTTACGGGACTATTACAAAAAAAAAACTAATTATACTTTATGATTTATTTTTTAAACCTATCATAACAATATAAGTTATATTATTTGTGAGAGCATTTTTAAGAATTTATATACAAAAATAAAATAATGATGTAGCCAATATTATTTGACAACTTTTAATGTAAATTTTAAAATTTTATGTTTTAATATAAATAATTGTCACCTCCTCTCTGATGTCCAGCTTGTAAAGTGACAAAATGCATGCAACAAGCCAACAACACCTTAAGCAAGCATATCCTAAATGCCATTTAGTAAATGGCTAAATGTAATGCTAAAACCATCAAAATACAAAGGAAACAAATTACGAAATGAGGGAGTGAGGGACTGTTAAGTGTTAGAGACGCTCTAATTATGTAGCAGAAGAGTAGGGACGTGATGGCGTTTATACAATTTAACAAAACAACGCGTGCCGTTTTGCCAAAGCGCTACTAAACCCCGCCTCATCCTCTCGCAGCTATCTCCCCCAGCTAAGCCTCTTGCAGGTTTCAGAGCTTAAACCCCAAATCTCCCTCAAACCAATTCGCTCTCCTCATTTGATTTCTGGGTTTCGTCTTCTTTCGACTTTATGGATTCCAGAGCTTAGCTTCAGTGCAAGTTCGTTTTTTTCGGAAAGAGCTCATTAGTTTCATCTTCATGGCGTCTCTCTCCTTCACCCAATTCCTATCATTTCCCAGGTTCTCCTTCTCTCTCTCTCTCTCTCTCTCTCTCTCTCTCTCTCTCTCTCTCTCTCTCTCTCTCTCTCTCTCTCTCTCTCTCTCTCTCTCTCTCATGTTTCTAATCTCTCAGTGAATTTATGTCCATGGGTTTCTGGGTTTGGCCCAGAATTGCTCGTCTCTGTTCTTCATGCCCAGAAATGTGCGAAATTTAAATAAAATTGTGTTTTTTTTTTCTTTCTTATCTTTCTACAAAACAATGATTTGAATTTTGGGCGTTTTCCCTTCGTTGTTGCCAGTTTTCTTGTTCAAATTAGGTTTCTCTACACATTTGGTGGTATGGTTTACTCATAGCCTCGCTTAATTTTGGCAGATGCAATGCAGATGTTCCTTGTCTCCACTCACTAGGTTTTGTCAAGTTTCAAGGTGGAAGATTGAATGGGAAACAAAGCTTTTTCATGGCCGCTGGTAGGAAAAAGTTATCAGAGTCTGCACCTCTTGGAGAAGACGAAGAGAACATTGCAAACGGAGCTGTTGGAGGAAAGAAACCACCCAAAATCCCTAAGAAAACTGGTCCTCGAACAACGAAGAAGAAAGTTGTATCAAAGGACGAACCTTTAGAAGAAAGCTCTCAACTTTTGGACAATGAAAGCGACACAAAGAAAGCAAGTGAGCCACGGAAAACTAGAAAGAAAGGTAACGACTTTTATCATTCTATCAGCTAAAAGTTGACTCAACGAGTGCATAATTCGCAATCCTACTCTTATCACAGCTGTAGCAGCAGCTTCTGCTGATGTGGAGGAAGGAAAAACCGAGAAGAAAGTGAGAAAGAAGAGGACTACTCCTAAAAAAGACAAAGAAATGGAGGATGGTTTAGGTACTACTGCTACATATGATGAGGTTAGTGATGTTGAGGAAGCATTGGCTGTTGAAAGCACTGATGCGGAGAGTGAAGGAGAAGAGATTGATCTGAGCAAACATGAGAGTGAAGATATTAGCCAATCATACGGATGGCCTCCTCTTGTGTGTTGTTTTGGATCTTCACAACATGCTTTTGTTCCATCGGGAAGGCCAGCGAACAGGCTTTTAGACTACGAGCGACAGGAACGGATGAGAGATGCAGAGTGGAGCCCAGAGAAGTATATCCGAGCTCCTGGAGGATGTGCAGGAGGTGTTGCTATCGCTCTTGCAAGCTTAGGTGGTAAAGTTGCTTTCATGGGGAAACTCGGTGATGATGACTTTGGCCAAGCCATGTTGTATTACCTGAATGTGTGCAACGTGCAAACGAGATCGGTTAAGGTTGATGGTAAAAGGGTCACTGCGTGTTCTACTATGAAGATTAGCAAGAGAGGTCGCTTGAAGTCGACTTGTGTCAAGCCCTGTGCAGAGGATTCACTTTCCAAATCTGAAATCAATGTTGATGTGCTCAAAGAGGTAAATGTTGTTCAAGAGATTTGGAACATTTGAGTTGTTTCTTGCTCACCAATCTCTTGATCTTTAACTTTGTTGCAGGCGAAAATGTTCTACTTCAGTACACACTCTCTGCTTGATAAGAAGATGATGTCAACTACATTACAAGCCATCAAGATATCAAAGCAACTAGGGAATGTGATTTTTTATGACTTGAACCTCCCTTTGCCGCTATGGCAGTCCAGTGAAGAGACCAAGAGTTTCATTCAAGAAGTGTGGGATCTTGCGGATATAATCGAAGTCACGAAACAGGAACTTGAATTCTTGTGTGGAATCGAGCCGAGTGAAGAGTTCGATACAAGAAACAACGACATCAGTAAGTTTGTCCACTACGAGCCGGAGACAGTGGAGCCGCTTTGGCATGAGAATCTCAAGGTTTTGTTTGTGACGAATGGCACTTCCAAGATCCATTACTATACCAAAGAGCACAATGGCGCTGTTCTTGGAATGGAGGATGCTCCCATTACTCCTTTTACTAGGGATATGTCAGCATCTGGAGATGGCATTGTTGCAGGTACATTTTCACTTACCTGTCTTTTACTTTTTCATAAGAGTGAGGAAAGTTTAATGCAGTTATTAAGTAAACTACATACTGTTTCAGGTCTAATAAGAATGCTTACGGTTCAGCCAGATCTTATGAACGATAAAGGGTACCTGGAACGCACAGCAAGATATGCAATTGAGTGTGGAGTTATTGATCAATGGTTGCTGGCACGAAGCAGAGGATATCCTCCAAAAGATGACATGGAAGACGAAGAGCAAGATGATGATGATGAAGAAGAAGAAGATGGAGTGGAGTCAGATCCAGACGGTATAAGATCGATAACAGAGAAGGAATACAAAACCTCGAAGCCTTACGATGAACCAGATGGTCCATACGTTATGAAACCAGTAGAGGAGAGAGAATACCGGAAGCTAGAGCTTGTTGGCTCAATGGGTGAAGATGATGACAGTTCTTGATATTAAATCAAGATTTGATCCTCTCTTTTTTTTGTTAGTCAGATTTTTTCCTTGTTCTCAGATCTTACAACATCTCAGATTATCAGTAGTGTGAAGTTTTTCAGATGTTTCAATATCTCACTCACCATCTCAAATCATACAAAATCATATAGACCAAAATGATAAACGCAACCTAAGGTTCAGTGACAATAAACTTCCTTCTCTACTTAACTAGTCCAGGTAGAGAACTATCTTCTTGTGAACTGTGAAAGGCAATTTGATTCTCAGGTCTTTTTGTTTCCGGCTCATTGGTCTGCCTTTGCTTTCGGGATCTCTGTTCTCCCTCACATCTGCTAGTTTCCAGATACAGATCTCTGACTCAGCATCTACAGAATCCAAGAGGAACACTGCACTCTTTACTTCTTTCCTTGAGTTTGTTTCCTCTTCATAGCTTACTGTCAACGGCATATCCTTGAATCGCTGCAAATCCTCTGGAACTCTCAGCAGCCTCTCTGCTCCTGGAGATGATACCTTCACAATAAAACCAACACCAAACAATACTTTAGAACAAGAAGACCCAAGCGATTGTTGATTCATGGATAAATAGTCTTGCTTTTACCTCAAGGGCTAAATCCTCTGGGAGTAGTTTTGCAGCTCCTGCATCATCTAGTCTTTTCTTAAATTCTCGACTAAATTCCTCAAGCTCGTCCATAGTAGGACATCCATATCTTTGTACAAGCAAAAAGCTTTCTTTAGTTTTTGAAATGCAATGGCTATATATAGGAGTGAAGAATCTTACTCATTTGAGAGTTTGTCAAGTCTGACGTAGATATATCCACGCGGAGAAGTTTTGAAAGCAAACAGTTGCAAATCTTCTTTCTCAGACTGATTCACAACTTCAGAAGCAATAGAGAGAACTTTGTCACCCCATGGCACACCTCCAAGAACAACCCCACCACCATCTCCTCCATCGCCAAGCTTTGAGACAGAACAAAATTTTAGTTAAAAAGAAAGGAAATTAAGAATCAGAGAGTGGCGAACTGATGGCAGAAACATATACCTTTGCTTCAACTTCCTCTTCGTCTTCCCATTCCTCTACAACCTCAACATCATCAATCGTCTTATCTGCCAAAAAATCATGTGTTAAAGAGTAAAGACCAACAGTACCTTTTGAACAAGAAAAAGGCACATCGATGATCAATGACGCAAATTGCAGAATCAATCTGACCAAAATAAACATATCAAAGAAAACAGTGAAAAAAAGTTTCTGACTTTAAGCATACAAGTATTGTTATATGAGTACAAACATTTCTGTCACTGTAATGGGCATTAGGTATATCAAGACGAAAGCTCAATCTTTGAAAACATAAATCAACTGTGAAAGCATTGAAAATACAATGATTTCACATAAAAAGGTGAAGCAAATTGTTTGGTCCAAAAAAACATACATTTAGGCAGGAGACATTTTAACAAACACCTTAGAGACATGAGAAAGGCAAAACGTATGAGCACCACTAGACGAGAGAAAGAAGAACAAAAAGAGAGCTCTTTAGGCTCTTAGCAGAACGTTACGAGAGAGATCACATCATCAAAGAACATTATAACCATAAACCCAGAAAACAAAGCAGAGAACTTACAATCAAAAGTGTCTTTTTCGACGCTATTACTAGTGGCGGATTTCGTCGGTCGAACAGAAGGAGAAGGAGAAGAAGAAAACTTAGAAATAGAGGAAGAGAAAGGAGAAGAGCGAGGAGGAATAAGAGTGATGAGTGTTGTTGTCTTCGGAAGTAATGAGGAAGAAGAAAAGGACCTAACGGAGGAGACGGCCGGTGAGGTACAACGGCGAGAAGCTCGCAACAAAGCAGCTACAATCGCACTTTGGTATCTCGCCATGCTTCTTCTTCTTCAACACAATTGTCAATTGCCACACCTTTCTATTGGGTTTAAGCCTTTAAGGTTTATTAGAGTTATTATTGGGTTTAAGGTTTCCATTTCCATCGAAATCTATAGCAGTTTTGCCAAGAGATTACAAAATTGATTTGTTTTTACTTTTACAAAGGTAAAAAGGAATGTAAAAGACAGAAAAAAAGGTTCAGTGTGAAACTACTCACTGAGACAACCTAATACAAACGGTAGCAAACATATTTATGAACACAAACAGAGCCTCAGAGTCGAAGAATTGTGCGAAGAGTATCGCACAGATTCTGAATGGTTTGTTGCTCCTGCGTTGCTTGCATTTCCTGAAGCGGCATCTCCTCGTAACACCTGCAGATCAAAAATTCACACAATCGGTTTTCAGATTTTATAAAATAAACCATAAAGCCCGATTTGGCTATGTACGTACGCTCTATGGTAAGCTAAAACTTGTGCAAGGTTCATCAGAGGAGGGCTTGACGTCAGTCTCTGGTATACACTTGGAGGAAGAGGCATCTGCATCACATCCATTTCATATTATATAAACATTATGATTCATTTTACATAGAGTTGAAGAGATATATAAGTTTGGACCTCGTTTTGTCCACGCCGGCCCTTTTTGGACTGAGGATCAGAAGTGAAGAGCTCCTGAAGTGATTCAACAGCTACAGTTCGATTCCCATCTTGTTGCATGCCTCCGATCATGTTCTCTGACAAGAGCGCGATCGGAGAAATATCCGTTGCTCGCAAGAATGGTATCGGTACTGTGTTTCCAGCTGCGTAGATTGACCATAACTGCCACAATGTACCAAATTAGCCAAGTCGACGTCATAACCATATTTTAAACCGTATAAAGCCATTGGCTTAGATAAGACTGTAGGAAAAAAAAATTAACTGACCTTATCTTGTAAAGCAAAAGCTTTCTTGCCAACAGTTTCACTACTCTTCAAGGTACCGCCACTTGCATCACTGCCACCTTCCGTCTGTGTTCCAGATATAGTGGTGTTTAGCTTCGTTTTAGGCTCAGGAGATATCGAAACCGATGGTGAAGTTGAAACTTCGACTGGAGCTTCCGTAGCAGGAGGATTCTTTTTTTCTTGGATCCTATAGCAACCAAATATCACAGGTTATCAAGCCATATAATCGCCTGTTTGTTATTCAACGGACATGCTCCAGAAGGGTTTTCACAGAGAAATTACCATGGTAACTCTTCTCCTGAGAATCCGACAGAAGCGCCATCAACCTGAGACGATGAAGATTCTTTCTCTTTGGTAAGTTGAGACCCAGAGTTACTCTCGTCTGTCTCATCCTCACCATGAATGATCATCGTTCCAAAATCACCACCTGAGAAGATGAACCAATGCAAACATTAAGTATATGCGTTTCGAAAACCATGATGGAAGAAAATTCACAGCATATCCAAGCTGTTTGCTGCTAACAAAATCATAATACATCACTTTCCTTCAGAGTTTACTATACATCGGCAAGAAAATGCAATCAACAATTCTCAGGATGGTTAGGAAATGCTAACAGGCTAAGGTTCACAGAACATTATAGAGAAGCGTAATCACTAGTCAGCAACAACACGCCATTCAATTGTATTCCTTATGGTAAAGTTTGCAATATGGACTTAGATAGTCATGCATGTAATACTTGCCTTCTCCAGCCGACGCAGTGTTGCCTGATATATTCTGCCGATTCATGGTGCTTGTCGAAGGTGCTTCCGTGGTGTTTTGAAATCCATTCTTAGGAGGTTTAGATGGAACAGTAATCCCAATCTCGTCACCTGATCTTGGACCCAGCGTTGACTGTTACAAGGTTATACCATAGTTTAAACAACTGTAACTTGCAAAAATGTTAGGAAAGAAGATGGGAGTAACTGAGCGAGAGAAGACCGTCTGAGAAAAACTCAATACATACAGTGTCTTCTGAAGAATGTGCGGCAACATTTTGGGCTTGCAGAGCCATTGTAGCTCTGATTTGTCTAGACTTCTCAATTTTTGGCGACATTGCAGAAGCACCAGTTTTACATCTTTGAACAAATTTGTGCTGAAGTTAAAACCAAAGAGTGAACGACATCAGAAGAACATAGAGATCTTAAACAGTAAACTGCATGTTAGCTATGAAAGTAATGATAATTCTGCCAAACTGAAGATATCGTGAATTGACAAGAAAGAGTCACAGTTAGCTGAAAAGAAAGGAAAACTAAATAAAAGCAGAGAACGGAGATACACATGATATAAATCTCTGGCGTACAGGCAAAAGATTATCATAATTTACCTTAAGCATCTCATCTGCAGTTGGGCGAAGACGTGGTTCCTTTGTGAGGCACTTTGCAACAAAATCATGAAAGACCAGGGACCTGCAGAGGGAAGCAACAAAACAGTTGACTTAGCCATAAGATATCGCAAAGTCCTCTTTAAAGGGAATTGCATTACTAAGCTTCAGAGCGCTTACAGGTCAATGCTTTTATATAAATGTACACGGCTAACAACATTCTAAGATTTCACTGACAATGCGAGGAAAAAAACTATTACGCCCATGAGATAATTGATTCCGAGTAATAGATCATCAAATCGGTAAAGTACTGTAACATGTTGTAGATATGCAGATACAATAGCAACTCTGGATAATTCTCTGAAGTGACTACAAGTAACTATCTTTCACAGTATAAGGCACTGAATTACTGATTGTGCTTGGATGGTTTAGAAAGTTCTCTTCTCCCTTAACGACAACCAATGTGACAATTCTCAAGATATTGAAGACAATACCATTTTTCTTTATCTTCAAGCATTGGAGCTGGCTCGATCGATATCATGAACAAAACCTAGCAAAAAGGGATGTCTGCAATGAGAAATTAAGTAACGACAACAGCACTATGTGATAAAGAGGTTACAGAAGAACAACTTAATGGGCCACCAAGTACGCAAACAAGCAAATATTTCCCTCTTTTACCTAGTTTTTCACCACTATCTAACCAAGAGAAGACCTTTAAAGAACATTTCAAGATCTTCATTTTCTAGCAAAACAGACCAAACCAAATCGCCTAAAATTAAATTTAATGAATGGTCTGAGCTAACCACATTTAGAGACCTCCAAATTCAAGTCCAGACACACTTCATCTTTCCCATCTTAAAATCAGCAAGATATCACTATAAACATAATAATGAAAGCAAGGTGGCTGAATATAACAACCCTCATCGGATGAACTGCTGATCTTGGAGGAAGCCCCTGTAAACAGCACAACTAAATTTTAGAAGGCAACCACAGGATGATTAAGAATCGAATATGGAAGAAGCGAGTTAAGTGACAAGAGGTCAAGAGTGATAATCAAAATGTACAAGAATTTTCTTATTCTCCATAAAATGCCAGGTGAGAAATTCGGTACAGATCAAATGCCAACTACAATATAATTGTAGTCCTAAGAGAGGTATTTTACCTCTGCCATCTCAATTGCTGAAACACCAAGAGCCCATACATCCACCTGCAGTAAAGTTTCCAAATGTCATTAAGGAGAAAACTAGAAAATCCTTGTGCAGCTGTAGTTTCTACTTTCTAAATGGCTATACATCAGATGCTAATTTCCTCTAGAAATATGATCCGGTAGAACTGGTTTGCACAACCATTTAAAGTAGCAAATTAGTTACTTTCTTCAAGAGAAGCCTAAATTTAATGATCCGGTAGACGTGAAGCCTAAATTTAATAATTTCACATTCCGATATGGAAGGTCGCAATAACATTAGTCCATCTAATGTAAATTGATCGAAAAACTTAAGAGAAGATTACCAGACCAAATTAGGATACCTACCTTCCCATCATAACGATTTTCCTGAATAACCTCCGGGGCCATCCAATGCGGAGTCCCTATGAACTACAAACAAGACAAACATTAAAGAATCCCAACCATCAGCCACAAAAACGTGTCTTAGGGTAATTGCCCAATTGATGAAAGACACAGATAGCAAACTTTATTCAATAGGTCTTTACCGTGTTCCGCTTCGACATAGTCCGCGTAAGTTGAGCTGCAACCCCGAAGTCACCTGTAAAGATTAAGGAAGCAAACTTTGGAAAATCAGCATGCAGCTGTAAAGCAATAAGAAAGTTTATAATTAACAACCGATTAGGCAGAGCAAGATTTTAAAAGCTACTATATCTAACAAGCTAACTTACCCAACTTGACCTCTCCTTGTTCAGTCAACAAGATATTTCCTCCCTTAATATCTCTATGAACTTTGAATATTGAGTGCAAGTATGCAAGACCCTACATATAAGACGTACATACAGAAGTATTAAACTTATGACAAGTTGAAGCAGATGTGCCCAAGCAGCGAAGACATCATCAAATATACGAAAGGGAAAATCAGCTTTCTTCTTCATTCCTCTGGCCATTTTATTAAGTGAAAAACAAAGTCACAGAAAATGTGTGGATACCTTCAACGCCTCTCGACAAATATATGCTATCTGATACTCCTCCAACGCCTCCTCAGTAACATTCATCAAATCAGCAACACTCCCACCTCCACAATACTCCATCACTATCTGCCATAATACAGAAATCAGTAACTAGACACACTGTATTCTCCTTAGACAGAAAAAAACAAACTGGTTCCAAACCGTAAGAGCTCATATATCTAACAAGCTATGGCCCAGAGATGCTCACCCAAAGATAATCTTCTCCTTGGTAACTCCCAAGGTAACGAACAACATTCGGATGATTACACTGCTGCAGCATCTCAATTTCCCCACGGATCTCTTCATATCCCTCCTCCTATTAAAACAAGAGCTTAAATCACACTGAGTACTTTATCAACTGTAGCATTTCTACTTGATGTAGAGGAAAAAGCTTCTTGATACCCCTTCGGTTAGTGATATGACTTTAACAGCAACAATCTCTGACGTTTTCAAATCTCTTGCCTTGTATACAGATCCATATGATCCTTTCCCTGCAAACAAAAAACTAATTCCTGTTGAATATGATGATCATAGCAAATCCGATAGAGACAAACAACGAAATTAGTTTTACCAAGTTCATTGAGGAATTCGTATTTGGTGGTTGGATCTTCCCTGATAATGCTATCCGGAAGGGACGTAGTCGACATCTTACTGTGCTGCTGCCGCATTTTCCGGTTTTCAGAAGGAGAGGAAGAGCCAGATTTCCGATTCTTACCACCGAAACTCGATTTCTGCATACTCGCCACCGCTCTTCCCATAGTTGACAAATCCATCTCCTTCTCTTTACTCTTTCCTTTTTTAGACGAAGATTTCACAACAAACGTACCGTACTCTCCGTCGTCGTCGTCGTCATCGTCCTCGTCTTCGTCTTCCTCATCGGAAGATTCCTCATCGGCTCTCCTCCTAGGACTGACTCCAATTCGCGGCTTGGACGAGTACGGACTGTTTTTCCCACTCCGATCCGTCTTCACAATCATCGTCCCGAAATCCCCAGCTCCATCACCGTCGTCCTCGTCGTAATCGAGCGACGCGCCGCCCCCGAAATCCTTGGGAAGACGCTTGAGCAGAGGAGGAAGCAAAGAATCCTCGTCGTCTTCTTCATCTCCCTCTCCTCCTCCGTCACTGTCTCCCTTGTACACCATCGTAGCGTATAAATCGACATTTTCGTCCTCCTCGGGTTTGGCGGCCTTGCGCTTGTCTCGATCTCGTCCTTGATCGGAATCAGAGTCGGAGTGGACTACGAAAGTCGCGTACAGGTCGGGTTTGGCCTCCGGTTTCCTGCTCCGGCGAGATCTCGGCGAGTTATGATCCATCTATAAGCTCCTTCACCGTTGTCGCAGAGAGAGAGAGAGTTAGGCAAAAGAGTCAGGCAAAAGAGTGCGGTAAAAGGTAAAAACACAAATAAGGAAATAATCAAATTTCGCCAGCTGTATATATATGTATAGTCTGTTTAACTTTTTATTTTGTTTCAAATTCTTTGGAGAAGAAAAGTGAACCCTAATCTCCCTCTCTGTCGAAGACATGTGTGAAGAAGCATTCATCAACGCTGAGATAGGCGTCTTCTGGAACGTCGTGGAGTGCCCAATCCCTGAGGGTCTAAATCCCGATTCGGTCTACCGGAATATCAAATCAGGTCTTCGTCTTATGGGTTATCGTGGTGACGTGTCGACGACATTCTGGGCATATTCTAAAAAGATCTCGGAGGAATTGTCTGATGACTATAGTGCAGCCGGAATCACGATGGAACATGTGAGAGGTCATAAATGGAGAGTTGATATCATGACAAAGGACATACTTTTCTTTGCACTGCAAAATCCTAACAAACCGGCGAATATGCTGGTAATCGCGGATCACATGTCGCGTAAACCGGAGCTGGTCAGGGTTTTACAAGTTTTGAAATCAAGAAACATCAATGTTGTGGTAGCACAGACCGGTGGTCGCGTACCGGTAGAGCTCCATGGGATCGTAAGCTCTGTATGCCTTTCGAGGAGGCTGTTAGCTAGAGGGAACGCTACTCTTTTGGAGCTGGATGCGGATCAAAAGAATGTAATGAACCCTAATTTTTCTCTCCATGACTCAGAACTCTCCGACTATAGCGTAGGCAACACAGGCGTCTTCTGGGACACCAAGGACTGCCCAAACCCTAATGCTCTCGAGTCAGATTTCTATTTGATCGGCAAGAGTATCAAATCATGTCTTGCTGATATGGATAAAAGTGGTAGTATGCTGTCGTGGATCTCGGCTTATGAAGATGGCGGGAAGGTGACGGTTTGGAATGGAGGGACTGAGACCAGAATGGTTTCACACCAAGGAGATCGATTGAGGAGAATGTCACTGGACATTCTTTTGTGGGCTATAGACAACCGTGTGGGACAATATGATCGTGATCGAAGACCAAATGTCATTGTGATCTCAAGAAACATCCCAAAAACCAGGGATTTCATCCTTCCTTTGAAGTGTTTGATTTCAAGATGCAATATCATCTTTGGACTGCCTGATGAGGTCAAATCACACTCCTGGAAAACTGCTAGTGTTATTAATTTTGGAGCACCTTTCTTCTCAAGTGGAAGCTCACAAAGAAGAGGGAATACCAAGAGAGACAAAAAGCCGTTTCTTGTAAGATGATATCTCTCTACGTAAATTTTCTTTTATTCAAATTATATTTCCATCACATTTTTTTCTGTCGAACCAAAAATAATGAAAAATTGATGAATGCTTGAATATGGTAGAATATAGTGGAATCGTGACAACTTGATCTATCATTATCATCACCATTGTTTTGTTTGACATACTAACATACAACATATATATGAAGCGCGCACACAATATGTAATTTAGGCATCATAGAGACATATTTAGGCTATGGAACAAAAGTTTCCACAAGAATGACAAAACAAAAAACTTGGGATTAAGAAGATAAAAGAGTGACCCAAAGTTGGGCTCAGTTGCTAGTTGCTACCACCACCAAAGAGGTAATCCAGGGACGAGCCACCTCCGGGAGCTGAGTGAACCTTTGTCGATGGCCGGTCCTACATAACAACAACCAAAACATGCTTCACTAACTATACCATAAGTTTTAGACCCAAAAAAAACCACATTTCTTCCTTATGATCTTCAGGAACCTAATATAAGATACGAAAAGATAAAGATGTTTTTGCTATCGGATCACCAGCCCACAGGACGTGACATACCGTGATGAAGTTGCCTGTGTTCTGTCCATCTGCGCGCATGTAGTTGTTCGAAGAGTTGCGATTGAGACCAGCTGGACCTTGTTTGGTGAGATCAACAGGTTTTGGAGCTTCTGTTTTAGGTTGTGCCGGAGAAGGAGGAGCAGCAGCAAGCTGAGCATTGTTAACGGCTGGTTTTGGAGCCTCTCCGCTTCCAAAAAGATATCCCAAAGAACTCTGTCCTCCACCAGCACTAACTCCACGACCCATTCTCTTGCTTCTCTGGAAGCCATTAGCCATTTAACATATATGAAAAAAATATGGAATCAACTTCATATTCTATACAAAACATTTTGTTGGTAAACAAATATGAAACGTTCAACAAAAAAAAACAGAATTGTGGACTATGTTATTCAATTCCTAAATTACTATACAGAACATGACATATATATCCCACAAGATCTAAATCCAGTGATCAATAAAACATTCACATCTTAGAAAAGAAAAAACTTTGATTGGTGAAAACATATGTCACTAAGTTTAATATTGGACTCGAAATATCAAAAAGAAGAAATGCCATAGCTACTCGGAAACAGTTACCTGCAGCGAGTCCGATAAGAGATCTAGTGATGGGCACAAGTTGATCGGAGAAAGAAGCGAGGAAGAGTCAGTGAGAGAAAAGCAAGATGCCTGTGAATTTTGATATATAGGCACACACAAAAGGCTGAGAAATATCTCTTTTTTTTAAACGAGAATGTGATATGTCCACTCCTCACTTTACTTCTTCTAGAATCTAGCTGGCATATCAACTCAACAGAAACTAATCAATTGTATAAACTGTTGTCGTTTTGTGACTTTACCTTCTGTGTAAATTGATCCAATTCAATCATTAATTTCGTTTTGTCATATAGTTTTGCATTAACTAATCAAAAAAAAATTAAAAGCAACTGTTTGGTAAAAGTAGATGGATTTATTTGTTATCTCTGTGGCAACTCCAAAAATCAAACCTAACCAACTTTCACGACTATATTACCGAATGTTACATTACAATATTGCATCGTCTTTCAGACCAATCCTAGTAATACGTGACATTGTTCCTATGTTTACACGAAGAGATAACATAGAATCTAATATGATGTTGGACAAACATGTTCCAAATGCAACATTACAAACTTACGAGTACTATTATTGATTGGCCAAAGAGAGGGTCTCATCACTTTTCAAAAGAATGAGGTCAGCTGAGTATTTTTGTGTATGTTTGCTAGCTAGATATGCGATAGTGCTGACTGTACATTTCACTACTATAGACATTTCGAGATGTTCCTGAAAGCGTAAACCTTCTTATGTCCATCTAAATGTAAATAATTAATTGTTTCTCTTAACTTTTTGCTATTTATCTTTGGGTCATTCTCTTTACTTTGACTGTATAAACCGGTGTCATTTTGTCATGTTCACCTTTTTCTAGCGTGATCCAATAAGTAACTTCGCTTTTCTAATAGTTTTGCATTTAATTAATCAAAATTTTGTAAAGCATATACTGTTTGATAAAGGTTACAAATAATGGAAAAAAAAAAGTTTATGTTTTAGTTCCCTGGCGGCAACTCCAAAAAATCAAATCCGACAAGAGTGATCCTATGTCCGGTTTGTAAAATATAATGTTCTCTTGTTCTAACTTTAAGGTTACGGGATCCTATGTCCGGTTCAGTTTTGGTTACATCAAGTTTACATAACCGGTAACAGAGTGATCAAGAAGATTTCTTGGAAGGAATTTGAGAAATCTCAACGAGAATTCGGTTCAAAGACTGAGGACGAGAGAAGAAAGGTGCATGATCAGAGCCTTTGAGCTGGAAAACTTGCTCCGGAGGGTTCGATTTGATCATCGTGTCTTGGAGAGAAACCGGTACAGCGTAATCATCCTCCATGGTTTTGATGTAGAACCGCCGGATTGAACCGTAATTCTTCTCCGACACGTGAAGCTTTTCAACCACGGGCGCGAACGGGATTGGTCTCATTGATACCGACGCCAATGCAATGTCCTGTACCAAAATTTAGATCGGGTTTAGTCAAACCAAATTGTACCGGGAAAAGCTTTTGGTTCAGTTAGTATTTACCTTTGGAGGGCTCTGATTAAAGAAAAATTCCTTAAGCAAAGATCTGTCGAAATCAACGGCTGTTGGTGGGCTCTTTTTGCCGTTGGCGTACAGAAATAGATGGACTTGTTCCATCAGATCATAGTTTGACTCAGACTGAAAATTAAAAATAATCATAATCAAAATCAAAATGGTTGCAGTTAAAAAAAACAAATAGTACATGCATTGAATAACTACATGTTGGAACATAAATAACATGAAATTTGTGTTAAATAAAATTTCACCATATCATTATTTACCAAATTCACAGTAAAACAAGGATAAAAATTGAATTAAATAGTTTTTAACCCCAAGAAAAAAAACCTGTTGATTAAAGAGATCAAGAGTGCTTTGGGCATTGGCCAACATAGCGGCAGAGATGAAAACAGCCTTAGAGATCTTAGAAGGGAACATCTCCATGGCATAAGACATACATGCTCCTCCAAAATCATGCCCCACTAATATCACCTGCACCCAATAATTGTTATGTTTATTGTTATACAAAGATATTATGATATATATATTAAAAAATAATAATGAAGGAGAAAAAATAAACCTTTTCGGTGGGTTTAAGGGTGTCGAAGAAGTGGAGGAGGGGTTTGACGTATTGAGCGAGGCTGGTGATGTTGTTAGTGTCGAAAGAGCTGACACCAGAACCGGTCAAGTCAACGGCGTCGACTTGGAAGCCATGTTTCTCTAAGAGCGTTATGGTTTTGTACCAACACCATGCCCCAAAACCTCCTCCATGAACCAGCACGAACCGTTTCGTCTCCGCACCTTCCACCTTCAGCTCCTGCTTCCATTCCATTCATAACATAATATGATATAAAACAATATTAAATTAATGTTGAAAACAAACAATCCTACTAGAAATTTGGACGAAACTAAAATAACCACAGTGAAAATAATTTTTGTTTGGTTTTTGTTGTTTACAACTATATATATACTGATATACATTCGCAACCGAATGTCACTAAGACAAGACAAAGCTAAGTTACAAGATTCCATGTTCAAGTTTCTGTGTTTTATGACTAAAATATGTTTACTCTACGTTTATCTTTTTATATCCGTTAGAAATTTAAATACTAACGGATAAACCCAAATGATAGTTTCAATTTTTTTTTAAAATGAATCTTAGAAAGTGAAAATCACAAAATTATGCAACAGAAAATTCTCACATCCTATATAGTTATGTTTTCAGTCATTTTTGTATAGATTTTTACAAAACAAAATATGAAAAAAAATCTGATCATTTTGAGCATTTCGATGCATCTAGGTGAGAGAATTAAATAAATAGACGATATAAGGGGCTAAAGCAATGAAAAGTGCTTGCCTTGTCTAGAAGCTGATTGGGTTTAAGAACAGGATCAGTGCTTGATCTCTGTCTATTGCTAGAGCTTCTAACATATCCAGTAAACTTCTTAGGAGTCAGGACACCGGAAACGGAACCTACGGCACCGGCGGCGGCGGTGACGTCTGGAGCTGGCTGAGTACTGGCAGGATAAACGACGGAGGTGGAGCGTCGGAAAGGAGGAGCAGAGTTGCTGTTACGTGGCGTCTGGCTAAAGAGAATATTTGTGGCGGCTAGGGTTTGTTCTTGGATAAGAGAATCTTTCTCGTTGTCACGATGATGTTCTTGGTTATGTCTTTCTCTTATCTTCTTCTTCGCCTTGATCCCTCCTTTCTTCGACGTTGACGAGGTAGAGGTGGAGGAACCGGAGCAAGAGAGAGACGGTAGTAAAGTCCGGCGCCGGAAAGATGGTATCAGCGACAACCTCCGCACGTGTTTCCCGGAGTTACTACTCTCACCTTCTCCGTTGGCCACGGATGGTTTCTTCTGGTTCGGATCTTGCTCTTGCGATATGCATCTCAAAGAGTTTCCCATTTTTTGTTGGTTTGTGTTCGAGAGAGGAGAAATGTCTGAATGTGTATACACGTTTCTATGTGTTTATGTACATACATATATACATGGAGCATGTTCGTGCTTGCATGTGTATTGTTTGGTGAAAATGTTTAGTTGAGACTCTCACGTTGTGAAGCTGTACTTTAAGCAAGTGTGGTTTTCTTTGATTAGATCTGACTGATCGTGATAGTTTTGATACTAATTATGTTTTCTTGAGTCTCACGAAAACACGCATAAGGATTAAAACGGTTTAAAGATTAGATTATAGTTTTGAATATTGTTACAAACTAATGACAATTGATTGGTAGACAGTTGGAGGGAGAAGAAAGAGGGAGGAACATGGGAGAGCACTTTCTTTGAGCATTTCTATGCTCCTTTGACTTTCTAGTGCAGGCCCAAGTTTACAACGATAGATAAAACATATAGCAATCAAACAGATTCCTCGTATATCTTTATTTTCTTCTTCTTTTGTCTCCTTCTCTAGGGAACAAAGAGCTATATATAATATGTTTGAGCAAAGAGAGAAAGAAGAAGATAACTTGGTATCGCCTATAAAGTGAGCAGATTAGAGTGGTGTCTAGTGGATATAAGGCCCTTAAGTGATCAGACTTCAAGAGAGTAGAATAAGCATATCACCTCTTCATGCCAAGTTGGATGGACTCATATGGTGCATGAAAACAATTCTGATTGTCTCTCTTTCAAGTTAGGTTTTGATAATTTTGTGTTCTTACAATATAACTTTAGTGTTTTAAAATTTTACTTTATTTGCATAGTTTAAATGTTTGTGCCAGCTACTTTGCATAAAGTTGCTAGGTTTCCCGTATAAATCTGTATAAATCTTTTTGAACTGATTGTTTTCCTAAAAGAATTAATGTTAAGAACTCTCTTCCTTCCACCTTGGAATCATATTCTACAACAAAATTAAAGATATTGCAAAAGATGTATCACTAAAATTATTACACATTTGAACCAAATTTAACTTATCAAAGATATTTTCCAACAAAAAAAAGTGAAACCAAATGAGAAACAAACAAAACAAAAATTAATACAAATCATAAACTATGTGACAATGTGACATTGTTGTTTTGTATTTGAATAGCAGCTAGAGCTCTAAATCCTGAGATCTTCACGATTGTTGTTGGAGTAATCACAAATCTATGTGCACGACTGGAGCAATCACCTTTGCTATTTCGTGCTTTGTGTTTGGATTTGTCTATTGTTTATAGCAAACGAAACGAAATCTGAGAAACTAAAATCAACCATACTTAAAGCAACAAACCAAAACGAAATCGAAACTTTATTGATGAAATAAGCTAAAATCGAACCATCTAAAATTGCCGAAGAATAGAGAAGCTTTTGAAATATGGAAAACCGAAAAAGATAGCATACTAAAGCGGGAATAAATTTTCCCGAGAAACGGAGAGAAATAGTGATCGAGTTTTAGAGCTGGGAAAAAAATTGAAGAAAAAAGTTCAATCGGAAGAGAGATTGATTAACCTAGGCAATGATCGAAATAAATAAAAATGGAAAAGAGAAATGATGAGCTAATGTTCACCGCTTTAATACCATAACGCAAAGTATGGAAATAGTCTTCATTAAATGTAAATGACTGCATAATTCATATACATTGTAAAAATATGTAAAAATATGATGCTAATATTAAGTTAAAGTAGTAATTATATAAAAATATACATATATGCCTACAAAAATTTATCAAACTATTAATTTAAGTTTATTTCTAACTTTTTAATATATAAAAATTCATAATGTAATTTTTCTATGCATCTAAATTGTTAAATATTTATAAACACAAAATTTCTTTATTCTTTTGTTTAAATACATTTACATACATTCAAAAGTATCATTAAAATATTTTAACTTCATTATCAATATTATTAGTAGCTATATTTATTCTAAACTTTTAATCTTTTTATCATGTATCAAATTTTACATAAATATTAAAATAAGCTAATAATATATATTTTATTATGATATATCCAAAAACTTAATAATAATTTCAAGTTTATACATGTCATATTAACAAATATTTTTCCTCAATTCTTAAAATATTATCATTGATGAATAATTTTTGAAGATGATGAATTAAAAAATATATATAAATTAATAAACATTTAATTTATCGATAAAATAAAATTTCATAATAAAATTTCAATGTCCAATCATTTATAAAATTTATGTACTCGTCCAATAACTTGTGATATAAATAAAAAAAATCTCAATAAATTTATACAAATCTTGTAAGATTTTTCTATTAAAACATTAATATTTTTTGGTATCTTTGTCAATTACAGGTAGGTAATCTAAAATTTATTGCTTTGTCTTTAGATATCTCTAATTTAATTGATAACATTAATCTTAGAAAATCTGTAATCATTAATTATATGATTCAAGAAATCAAGATTTGAATATATTTATATTAGGACAGATATAGAAACTCCTAACAATAACATAGTGATATTCAAGATTTACTTCAACAAGTGTCATAACATCAAAGAGTTATACAACCCACCGAAGAGACCGTACGACACGCACAGAAACCACTTGAAGTAAAAAGTACAAAAGTTCTAGATTGTTCTCTTTTGCTGTTTCCACTTTTTAAGTTTTCAGTTTTTCACCGACTGTAAAAGTCAAACCTATAAAGTCAACCAAAATTTACCTTTTTTTTCTTATGACGGCAAAACCAAATTTTACTTGAGTTCCTATAAGAAGGAAAGGAAAAGCCATAACCTTTCTAAAGAAATAGGAATAAATATTCATCTTCCTTTTTTTTTCTCTTCAATCAAAAAAGCAGAATCTCTTCGAGGAACCTCCCTAAAACCCTATTAAAGCTCGTCTCTTTCTTCGCCCTCCTCGCTCACTTCTCCCAAATCTCGACTCCTAAACCTAATTAACAACACCTCTCAAAGTCTCAACCTTTTTCTCTCCCCGAATCCACCGGAGACTCTCCTCGGTCCATCTTTCTCTGCCGCCAGGTTACTAAATCGATTTCTTGATCCGAAATCTAGATTTGGGATTTTTAATCTAGGGTTTCCGATTTGAATCCTAATTGGTTCTGCATGATCTGAATTTGCCCTTTTTTTGTCAAAATCTCAGCAGTTAAAGTGTGCAGATATGGCTACCGAGGAAGCTGTTCCTACGGCTAACCAAGTCTCTGATGCTTTTGTTCAACAATACTTTAAAATTATTGAACAATCCCCTGAGAACGCTCGTAGGCTTTATGCTGATGCTAGTGTTGTCACCAGACCAGGACCTGATGGTTCTATGATCTCTTTTAAATCCGCTGAGGTAAATTTTCAGCAAAGTCTTCTTCTTTATTGTCTTCCATACTCCTATTGTTTGAAAAAGATCCCTCTTTTAGGTTCATTAGGTCCAAAGTTTGCCTTTTTATGCTCTGTTTCTACTTGTATTGTTGTTTTGGCTTTAATGTTGATTAGGGTTTATGTTGGCTTTCATAATCATAACTTCTTGAATCAGATTATTAAATCTTACTGGTCCCTAAAGTTTAATGCTTTGCTGATTTTTCTACAATTGAGAGACTCACATATTGATTATCATCTTTGTGCAGGCTATCAACGAGCACTTCGTCTCCAGTGGCTATGAGAGCACTACGTTTGAGGTCGTGAGTATTGACTCTCAGAACTCGGTGAAAGATGGGATCTTTATAATGGTGGTTGGTTTCTCGACTGGCAAAGACAAGAGTAAGAGGAAGTTCTCTCAGATGTTCTATCTGGCACATGACGCTGGTCACGAGAACCCGAATTCCTACAGTGTCTTTAATGACATCTTTCGCTATGTTGCCGAGGAGGCCTCCGCTCCTGTAACTTTACCAGCTGCTGAATCTGGTAAGTTGTTCTCAAGCCTTGTGTTTACTTATACATATCGTAAAATCTTATGTTGAGGAGACTTATGTTGGACTGTATCATTATAGTGGCAGAAACTGAGATAGCGAAGCCAGCTAAAGCTGTGGAGAGATCTGTTAATGCTGCTCAAGTCAAGAAGGTTGCTGCTCCTTCATTGGCCAATGGAAATATCAAGCACTCTGATGAGAAAGCTGTTGCTGCGCCTGTGGATGGAGCCAAGGTGTCTTATGCTGCAATGGTGAGTTTTGTTTCATGTAAATTTGTTTGCTTTTACTTGGAGACATCGATGGATTGATACTAGTGATGAGTGTGTTTACAGGTTCAAACAATGGCGAAAAACGCTGCTCCTTTCCAAGTCAAAGCTGCGTCTGTTCAGGTTCAGACACCTAAACACGTTGCACAGCCACGTGCAGTTGCTGCTGCATCACCTAAAGCACCTGCTGCTGCTCTCAGTAAATCTGAGAAGAGGAGTGATTACAAGAACAAGAGGATCATTGAAGAGCCAGGTTAGAAGACAGAGATATGGCCATGGAAGTTTTAACTTTTTTTTCTTGGTTCTGTTTTGGATATCAAGATTTGGTATTGTTTTGGTTTTCAGGCACTTCAATCTTCGTGGCGAATCTTCCATTGGATGCAGTGTCGCCTCAGCTCCATGACCTGTTCAAGGATTTTGGTCCAATCAAAGAACATGGTGCCCAAGTCAGAAGCTCAAAGGTAATAATGATGTTTGATCCAAAAGTCTTGTCATTTTGCTATCTCTGCTCAACGAGTCTAAAACTTTTTCTTATCTTGTTGTTCTCAGGAAACCGGATATTGCTTTGGGTTTGTTGCCTTTGAATCCACTGCCTCTGTCCAGAGCGTGCTTAAGGCTGCCAAGAGCCATCCCTTCTGGCTTGGAGACCATAAGCTTCGTGTAAAGGAGAAGCAAGGCAAGTTTCAGCTTCTCTCTTTCTCTTAAACCATCTAAAAGTTGTTCGTTTTCTTGCGTCCAAGTCTGAAACTTTCTCTGTTTGTTTTGTTTGTTTGCAGTGGACTATGATGGAAGCAGACAATCCGGTGGGAGAAACGGAGCTGGAGGACGCAGGGCTGCTCAGAATGGGTCTGCTTCTGCTAACGGCGGAGATGAGTTCAAGACTGTAGGCAAACCTTCTGGTGGAAAAACCGGAAACGGAAACGGAAGTGTGACTCAGAACGGCTCTGCTTCTGCTGAGGGCGGAGATGATGATGATTTCACGGTGGTGGTCAACAGCCGTAAGAGAGGTAACAGAAACGAGAGACGAGGAGACAATAACAACAACCAGAGAAGCAGTGAAGGAGTGGTTAAAGCTTGATTGATGATGGTAACGACGATGCTATCCTCTGAATACACCTACAACACAAGAACAGTTACTAAAATTTGCTGCAGCGTTCTTAGAAAATTTATTATTTTAAGAGTTAAGGGAAGAAGAAGAAGACCTTTCAAGTTGAGATTATTTTTCTTCATTACAGATTCATATATCTCTTTACTTCTTTTAGGTCCTTTTTTCACTCCTTATGAAACTCAATATAATTCTTCTTGTTTTTCATTTATTTCTCCATCAAATTTCCTACAAATCTACATTGTTTTACTCTTCTTATATTCAACCTTCTTAGCAAGAATACTAGTGGTGTTAACAATCAAACTCATAACAATGTGTTGATGGCACCACAAATCTTGCCAAGATCACTACCTCTTGTTGCCTCTTTCTACTGAAAGGTGTTGTCGAATCTGTGCCAACAGTTAAATGCAATGTGACCAATCTTGCCACAGATTTGGCACACTACACCACCATTTCCGAATCTCTTCTTGTAGCCTCTGCCTCCTCCTCTGGTATGATTCTTGTAATAGCTTTGAGATGGAGTGTTGTTTGAGTAGTGAGTGGCTGCTTGTTCTTCAGCCAAATACATTTTGAGTCTATCATCATACCAAGTGAGTCTTCTCACCACATCTTCAAACGTAATGCTTGGAACAGATCTGTCCATAGAGAACTCAATACTTGTTGTGATTATGTCATACTCTCGACCAAGTCCATGTAAAGCAGCGAGAATTTTTTATCTCTTCTCTCACAGGGCTTCCTAAAGAAGACAACTCATCACACAGATTCTTGATGTCTTTGAGATACTCATCCAAAGACATTTTCACCTTTGTTAGACATTTCACATTCTGTTTTTGTCGTGAAGCACCAAACCCGTTGGGGAAGAAGAAGAAGACTGTTGTACTCAGATGGGCTTTGTTTTCTTTAAGCCCAACTATTATTTCCTTTGTGATCCATTAACTGAAGTGGCGTCGTTTTATCAAATGTCATTTGTTTTTCTATGTTCCAAATTTTTTTATTCGAATATTCAGCTTTCTTATTATAGCTAAACGTTATGTTATAAAATTAGATTTTTAAGTACTGGTATAAAAATTCAAGTGTCCTCTTGCGAATACGTGAAGGTATATCCTATGATTTGTTCCGCAACGAATAAATCACTTTTAGGAAGAAAAAAAAGAATGAAAATGTCTGGTCTAGTGTCGCATCGTTCCAATATTGTAATTTGAAAAAGAAAAGTAATTAGCGGTTATAAAAAGAAGTAAGTATCAATAAAAGAAAAAAAAGGTAATTAGCATTTGCTTGATAAAGAGAAAACAACAATAATGCGAATGTGACACCTCTCTCGTATCAAGGTTTGGATTACAAAAACCTCACACGTCAACGATTTTGCTAGATTTGATTCCATTCCCTTTTTTCCATCTTACCTACCTTTTTCCCTTAGAAAATGCGTCAAAATAGCTTATTTGTTTATAGAAAAGTTTCATTTTTGGAACTTATTTCCTGAATTCTTAGCACTACCACGAAACTATAAAAGGAAACGACTAAAATATCTTAAACAGTAAAAGGTAGAATATAATCTTGCAATGTTCAGAATTCTTTTTGAACAGAATTATATATGCATAGTTACTTTTATAGTTTTATTTATCACTTAGAGATCAAATTTTAATTATCCGTTAAAAAAATGTTCATATAATTGCCTTTAGACATTATTAAAAAAAAAAATCAAATTTTAAAAACAATAGTAGAACACTAGGCACCTTCTGAATATATTGTGAATATAAAAATTATAATTCTTATTTCTCGTAATTAAAATTTATTTTGAATCAGAACCAAAGATAATTATGCATAATACTCACAGGTACACTTTTAGGAGCTTAAGTTTAGTTCTTGTTATCCAAAATTTCTAATATATAAAGAAATCTAAAGGAGAATAAAGATTATATTGTGCATAATACTCATAGGTTTACACATTAATAATGTATGCAATCAAGATTTCAATCTAACAGAACAAGTTGGACGAGTTTGTGATCAATACAGGTCAAGTTGAACGAATAAATGTGAAAATAAAAAGGGTGATGTGTCATGTGACCGAAAATATGTACGGTGAATTACGATTGTAAAACTAAATACTTAAGTTCAATCAAATTTTTAGCAGGTTCACAGAAGAACAACACATGTAGTTTTATGTATGGTGGAGTAATGGTGAGTGGACAATATTCTGTTTAGGAATCTACACCAGTTTCAGCCATTTGTTGTTCAATGCATGCGACAGTTACTTCAACAATAAAACATGCATGGATAATGCATTATACATTAGTTATCTAGTGATTGGTAATCAATAGAATCCGTGACAAAGAAGAAAGTTTCTTTTGCTTGAAATGTTTTTAGTGGAATTGTAAATATATTATGATTCTGAATGAAATGTTGTAGAGCAACATACTATATACTTCACTTTTAATAATTTGGGAATGATACAAGAACTTGATCGGATGTGAGTGAGACACGCAAGGATCTCCACAACCACTAGGACACGTGTTTCA